AATGAGCTTCACCGCAGAGGAGCCAATCAGTTGGCAGCTAGAAGTTTGCTGGGGCCGCTGTGAGCCAATCATCAGCTGGCAGCTGGAAGTTTGCTGGGGCCCCTTTGGCTGTGGCTCTCAACAGGGGACTAGAGAAAAACAGAGGTACTTTGGATTAGGGAGAGGAGAGGAAAGTGAGGAGAGGGGGCAAAGAGGTAGGAAGGATAACAGAATAAATCAAACATTATTACCCTATGTACACATATGATTACATGATTGGTGTGATTCCACATCATGTACAACCACAAGAATGAGAAGTTATACTCCACTTATGTATGAAGTCTCAAAATGCATTCTATTGTCATGTATAACTAACTAGAACAATTAAAAAAAAAAAAGCATAAGAAAACCCTCCTTTCCTACCTCCTCTTTCCTTTTCATAGCTGACCAGTTTCTCCCACAAGCACTCAGCGTTGTACAGCAGGGCCTCCCAGGTTTGCACCCTGAGCTACAGTGATATTTCAGTTGCTTGATTTAATGTGATGGATGAGACTGCAACTCTGTCTACATTCTCCTTAGGGAAAGTGTGTGCAAAAATAAATTCTAAATATTGCTCCCTTTCTGGATGGTGACTTGGTTGAATGTATTTAGCCTCTTCTTCATGTATGTGTGTAATAGGTTTCTTTTTAAGTAAAAAGGGGAGAAAATATGAAGAAAACTTTGTCTTTTATGTAGACCTTAGTACAACTATTTTGTCCACTTTTTAAATATGATATATTTTCTTGACAATTAGATATCAGGGTAAGTCTTAATTTAACCTTTATAAGTGTCTAAGAGAAAAAGAAACCAATTGGAAAACTTACCAAGTTCTCAAAACAAGCATTTTGGGTTTTGACAGTAAATGTGCAATATTATAGAGTTTGCCACTATTTCCTCTCTAGGAAGAAAGGTAAGAGAAATACACTTGATAAGTAATTTTCAGTTGATTTTTTAGGGGGATTAAACTCAGGGTCACTCAACCACTGAGCCATACCCCAAGCCCTATTTTATATTTTATTTAGAGACAGGGTCTCACTGARTTGCTTAGTACCTTGTTTTTGTGGAGGTTGGCTTTGAACTCACGATCCTCCTGTCTCAGCCTCCTGAGCAACTGGGATTACAGGACTGTGCCACCATGACCAGATGATTTTTAAAACACTTAACACAAGTCAGAAAAAGTGTAATCAAATAAACCAATTGTAAAAGTCATTTTTAAACAAGAGAAATTTAAATATGATCAAACCACATGTGAGGCGACTCTAAATAATTCCTGTTTATTTGTAATAATATAACTGGTTATTTTTTAAAAGACCTGCCTTATCTGTTAGCCATACAAATTGAAGTATTAAAAGTGAAAATAATTTGTATGGGATATTCTTTAAAATAGTCCAGCTTTAAAAAATTATATGCTGTGGGGGCCAGGGGCAGACAGAATTTAAATATGATAATATACCAAAGTATTTTAATATTCCCACTGATTTATAATAAACAATATAGAATTTCATGTCTCTATATAAGTGGTACCTGATGTACCTGGCATAATGTACCAAATAGATTTGTTTTTTAAGAAAGGTTACTTAGGTTATGCACTGCGAGGCAAAGTGTGACTTACAGGAGTGGATATAGTATACCAGGTAGAGGGAAATGGAAGGAATAGATTGTTATCAGAGGGTCTCCTACAACTCAGGGAAGGCAAAACTGAGATATTATTCTATATTAGAATTAGTGTGTTATAAAAACAGTAGTATGACAAATGTGAATGAAAGGCTCCATTTATACCAGGTTGATGTCACTACATACTACTCATACATGTGTCCATGGTATAAGCACATTACTAGAAGCTGCTGATGGAATTATGTCTTCCATATTCAAAATGTTCATATCCAATGCAGGTCTAAATCCATAAAAATAAAGCATTTTTTTATGCTGAATGCAATAATTTTAGACATTTTTCATGGAGGAGTTAATGAAAGTAAATTAAACCACTGAGATAAAAACACAAAGCTGCTTTAGATGCTAGAATGACTCATCAATATTTTTATATAGATACATATTATTTTGTGGCCATCCTGATACTCCAACCACATRAAAAAAGGCATTCTATTTCTTTATTTTTTTTATTTGACAAGCAGCAATATCATGTTTGTCATTTTAATGTAGATACAATTATTATGTTATCTGTCATATTACAATATTTAAGTTTTTATTTTATGTCCTTTAAGATACATTAAAAAAAAAAAAACACATCAACTGCAAACGTGAAGGGGAGAGAAAGCATGGTACCCAACCAAATTTCCACATTTCAGCAATACTTCACTCATTCTTTTAAAAGTTTTAAGAAATGTCATAATGACATGAGCTTGAAATATCTCTAGGCATTTTCTTTTGACGCTCATGACGTGGCACTGGTGATGTTGTAAACAGCAGAAAAACAGGGGCTGCCAAATGACCAAATTATGGAGGCACAGGCCTGCTTTTTCCCACAGGAACACACCGAATGGTGATGGCAATGATCTTCTCACACCCACACTGGAGGAGAGCAACATCACGCGACGTAACTGTATTCATCTGCGGACGCTTGGCTGCGTTCAATGTATTGTTTGTCTATCAGAACTTCAATACATTTCTTAATCATGCTGATACTTGGATTAAACCTAGCTCTTGACTGGCTAATCACCTGTGTTAAGAGAGACATGGAAGTCAAACTACCACGAATGAACCAGCTATCAATAAATATTTTTAAACAATTAGAAGTAAGCTTTCTCAAGTTTACTGAGATTTTAACAAACAGACTTAAATTGGGTTATATTAACCAATATTATATTCAGCTTATATTAATTAAACTGAATAAAATCATTCAAAATAGACTTCATAGGACAAATAAGTAAGTTGCATGAACAATATTAAATTCTATTTATTTTTTTGTGGTACTATAGATTAAAACCAGGAGTGGTCTACCACTGAGCTATATACCCAGCCCTTTTAATTTTTTTTTAAATTTTGTGATGAGGCTAGCCCTGAACTTGCAATCCTGTTGCCTCAGTCTCTGGAGTAGCTAGGATTACAGGCATCTACCACCACACACATGCTCAATATTAAATTTTTTAAGCAAAGCAAGGCAGCGCACAGGGAAAGACTAATCAGATCTGTCAGTTTTGACATGCCAGTTGAAAAGAATTTTTATTCAAAGTAAGGAAAAAAATTGTAATGCTTACATTGTGAAAGAATTATGGTATAGAACAAAACAAAATTTAGTAATGTTTATGCATAATTAAATGAAACCATAAACTAAGTAATCTATCTAAACACTCATACACATCCTCACACTTCCATTTAACTCCATTTTCTGTTTTCTGCTCAAAACATCACTTTATCTAAAAAGYTTTCCCCAACATCCCCTGTATCAGGACTTCTTTTTTTTTTTATTTTTTGGTACTGGGGATTGAACCAAGGGGTGCTCAAAACTACTTTTGTTTTGAGACAGGGTCTCAGTAAGTTATTTAGAATCTTGCTAAATTGCTGGGGCTCGTCTTGAACTTATGATCCTCCTGCCACAGCTCCTGAGTTGCTGGAATTACAGGTGTGAGCCACCATGATAATTCCAGCAAATGGAATTTCATGTCTCTATATAAGTGGTACCTGGTGTACCATTTATATAGAGACAATAATATATATATATATATATATATATTTTTTTTTTTCATGATATATATATCAGGACCTCTGTATAATTCTTCTAGTTCTGTATGTCTTCCTTTCAGTGCATAGTAATATAGTTTTCCATTTACTTGCTTATTGTTTGTTAATAATGTATTTCTACTCCATTATGAATTCCATAAGTGCTGCCACATCTTAGYTGCTTGGCACTACATCCCCATTGTCCAGCTCAGCACTCCATCACATGGTAAAACACTGTTGTTTACATGAAATGAATGATTATTTGATGTATTCAACTTCCTTTAATAACTRTAAAGAAGTCTCAATAAACTGTCAAGTCTGGATCTTCGAGTTTGAATTTCAATCTCCAAATTCAAGCCAAAGCAAATCCAAATTTAACACCAAAATTTTAAGAAAGTACTATTCTCATTAAATAGTGCAATATCTCTTTGATAATCTATGCYATTTGGAGATTGTGTTATGTCTGTATCATGTTTAAGAAGAAGCAGAGTTAATCTRTACGTTGATAATATCCTCTACCTAAGAAGTCTTGAGGACTTTTCCCGTCTTACCTCTTGAATAAGCGCATTGTGCCGAAGCACTTTTCGTGCTTTCATGATACGAACTATAGCAGCTTGAAGATACATTTTCCGGTCCTCATCCACAGCACTTCTAGTCTGCTCCATTTCCTGTTTCAAAGAAGGAAAAATTAGCAAATGAGCCACTATCATTGAACTTGTCTTTAATTCATTTTATCAGTAAGTTAAAAGAATTTTCAATCAATAATGAGTAACAAATTACAGATATCCTGTGCCCAATATCACATAACCAATGCTAAAACATTTATTCTGGGTTATATATCACATTCGAAGGTTATTTTAAAAATTACATTATTATAAACTATAATGGTAATGTCAATAAGCAATAAAGTAGGACTTAACTGACAAAGAATAATAATTTTTCAAGAATGTTGTCCTAGCAACGATTACAGACTCTGTATCACAATGCAGATGGAGTTGTAGCAAATGCAATAATTAGCTCCAAGTGCACATGGATCAAGTTTCAAGGGAAAGAGTTATGTAGGGTTCTGTTTGGCTCAAGGACAGTCATGAAGGATAGGCCAGAGAGAAGCTATCTCTGTGGAGTTCACAGAAACAGAAGCAGCAAGACATGGCAGMTGGCCATAACACGGCAATAGATTCCTCATCATAGTCTTGCAAAGATAAAATACAATCCATGAATCATAGGCAATCATTCATTAGACTTCAAGAAAACAGGATCATGAACACTTTAAGGTTCAAAGTTCATGGCCGTTAATTATCATGTGTCTCCACCATGGGAATGTAAGTTCTCTGCAAAGGGACTGTTATCTTATATACCTTTATATCCTATTCTGAGTCCAAAGCTTGAAAATAAGAGGCAATCAAGAGAATAAGTGATATGAACAGTTTATGCCAGACGAAAGCAACAGTCAATGCTGAGTTTTAAAAAAAATCATGAGCTACTCACAATGGTTCACCCAGGAATCTGGACACCACTTTAGACCTACTCAATCACAATTTGCATTTTAACAAGATCCTCAGGTAGTTCCCATTGTGCATCAAAGTTTGAGCAACATTTTCTACCTGACAACRTATCTTTTTGAAAGAAATGAGTTCCTCCAACCTCAGAAACTTAGGCCCTAAGCAACTTAGTGAGACCTTATCAAAATTTTAAAAAAAGGCTGACGATGTGGCTCAGTGGTTAATAAGTGGTTAATCCCTGGAGCTTCCCATTAGTACTACGTTTTTTTTTTGTTTTTTTTTTTTTGTACCAAGGATGCTTCACCACTAAGCAACATTCCAGCCCTTTTAATATTTTATTTAGAGACAGGGGTCTTGCTAAGTTGCTCAGGACCTCGCTAAATTGCCAAAGGTAGCTTTGAGCTCACAATCCTCCTGCCTCAGCCTCCCGAGATAACCATTACTACTTTTTAAAAATGAAAAATGCCAGCAGAGTTCTGTTAGATTGTACGTTCATAAATGCAAAGAACAAAGAATAAACCAGAAAAGATGTATCATATTATTGATTTTGAGATACAAAGTTTTGTTTGATCTCAGGGTCAACTGAACTTGTTAAATCCAAGGTTTAGAACTGGGTGTGGTGGCACCAKCGTATAATCCCAGTGATTTGAGAGTTCAAAGCCAGCCTCAGCAACTTAGAAGGCACTAAGGAACTCAGTGAGACCCTGTCTCAAAACAAGCAAACAACAAAAAAAAAAGGGCTGGGGATGTGGCTCAGTGGTTAAATACTCCTGAGTCTAATCCCTGGTATCAAAAGGAAAAAAAAAAAAAACACAAAAACACAATGCTTTATCATTAAAAAACAATATGCCATTGCGTGCGGCCCAGGTTCGATCCTCAGCACCACATACCAACAAAGATGTTGTGTCCGCCGAGAACTAAAAAATTAAAAAAAAATTAAAAAAAAAAAAAAAACAATATGCCATTAAAAATCACTTACCTGTGGTGTATCTTTCTGCATTGATGTAGTAATTTTAAATTTTGTTCTTTTACTGCTGAAGTTCATATTTAATGAAAATGAAGATTCTGCATCGATGTCTTCCTACATTTAAAGATATATTTATTAAAAAATAAGTTTATTGCAAGTAATATGAAATTAATAATGATCAAGCATGAAGAACTAAACTCAATTTATTATTGAATTCATTAAGAGAAAAATAATTGTTAAATAAGCAAAAAGCAATTCTATTCTAATTTTAACTGAGTCTTGACATTAAGATACACTAGAGCACCTGGGACAGAATCATACTAGTTAAGGCTATATATAACATACATATCAATAGGCTGTCATTTCCGATTCAAAACCATGAAATTAAATTAACTGAACACATAGGGGGGAAGGAGAACCAGAAGGAGTTATAACAGTCTACAGTTTAAAAATTTTAGACTACAGGATTCAATCAGAATCCCATAGATGGCAATTCTTTTACAATTTTTCAGTAACATTACAGTATAGAACATTATAGGACAGGACAAATAAATCAAATCAGAAAACAGACCTAGGCACCAGCTTACATAGCATTCCCTTGACTCCTAAGTTAACAACTGTATTGGGCTTGCAGGAATGTAGCTAGTTCAAGTGCATTTCAGAGAACAAAGAGGAAGGACAATTATAGTCTTACTTTAAGCAGTATCAATAGTCACACTTTTTTATGGGATCTTTGCAGTTTTTAAAGTTTTRGGGAACATTACCACATACCTTTTCTGAATCATGGTTAATCATTTTCACATCAAGTAATGATTTGATTGTTTTTGTCAGTTCCTTTTCATTCATCTGAGTACTATCTTGAAGCTCTTTATAGCTGACAGTTTCACTGTTGTTAAAGGCAAGAAGAACTGCCATTTGGTATGTTGTAACCATGGCTACATATGGTTTGCCCAAATAGTTCATTTTAACTTCACCTATAATCAAGACAAAAATTGAGACAGTAAACTAATCATTCAAAGAAACATTTCAGAATTATCTGAGTAATAATTGTTTATTTCAGATATTTTCCCCCTGCAACAGAGAACCAAGGACTTCTTAAATTATTTTAAAGCCACTCCAGCTAACAATGCAGTCGTTTTGCTTTGTTTGCAGGGAATGGAGGTATTACTAGTTTTGTGTATGTAATATAAATCACAATTAAGATATCATTACTTTACCCATGGGTTTTAACAATGAGGCAGCAGCATATTAGCACATGGAAAATCTTGTAAAAAAGAGTATCAAAACATGTATGTGTTTTGTAACATGTAAAAAATATGGAAAGATAACATGCAAAAGAACTTCCTAAAGCATAAAGTCATGGTTTAGTGACTACACACAGAGTAATGAATTATAAAATAAACCAGCATGAACTTTGACTTTAAAGCTCTTCATTTTAAGTTAAACTATATTTTACATGAAATTACTCCAGAGGCTGCATACCCTGCTCAGAGATAATTAGTAACTCTGATCAAGACTTTGTGCTTTCTTTTATTTGTTCGATATTATAAATTATAAAATAAACCAGAATGAGCTTTGACTTTAAAGCTCTTCATTCACCAACTTACTGTTACTTCACAGATGCCTGTTTTAACTTTCACTATCAGTATTATCCTTTACACCTAGACCTATTTCAAAAAGAAGTGACACTCAGAAATACGTTTCAGAATTATTTGAACAGGAACACTTAGAGAAATCCCTACTCTGAATTTTTATGAAAGGAAGCTTAACATGTTAGAATATCTACTTCCTACAAATGGCATATATTAATAAATTATCATTAAGAGTGTATTACAGCCAGGCACAGTGGTACATGCCAGTAATCCCAGTTACTCAGGAGGCTGAAGAAGGAGGATCACAAGTTCGAGGCCAGTTTCAGCAATTTTAATTTAGCAAGGTCCTAAGTACCTGAGCAAGACTGTCTCAAATTTGAAATTCTTACTGTCTCAGCCTTCCAAGTTGTTGGTATTGCAGCAGTACGCTACCACACCTAACTGGAATAGAGTCACTACCTTTTAAAGTATGTGCAACAATATGGTATATACCTTCCTTCTTTTTTTTTAATTTTGAAAGTTGCTTAGGGCCTTTAATTTTTAAGTTGCTTAGGGCCTTGCTAACTTGCTGAGGTTGGTCTTGAACTTGTGATCCTTCTGCCTCATACTCTGTGTTATTAGGATTACAGATGTGCAACACAGTGCCCAACTAGTGGTGTGATTTTCAATTTGGCAATTTTGCCAGATCTAATTTTGACAAATAATAGTAACTACCAATGTACATAACAATTTACAGTTCATAAATTGTACTAACTAGAAAAGTTAGATACTTTGTACTAACTAGAAAAGTTCATCATTTCTCAACTTATCTTTCAACAGAACTGGAATTCCTGCAACTCCTTGCCCTGCCATAAATAAAAAAATAGTTATATCCAGACTATGTAATGATTTTCTTTACACTGTCTGTATATATCTCTCCAACAAGTATTTGTAGCTCTTCATCAAGTTGTTCTCTCATCATAATGCTATCTGAAGTCCTAGTCATAAATCCAATGCAATTTCCAGCATCTTCTCACTCAGTATCTCTGTCATATCTGATATCCCAGATTGTTTGCTGCTTGAAATTCTTATTTCTGTTGGTATTACACTGTCTACATTCTTCTCTGCCTGTCCTGGCTAAGTCTGATTAGTTCTTGAAAATCACTTAGATCATCTACCCAGAAGCTTTACTTCCTTAGTACCCATTTGTCACCACCATTCTATATAATACTGGAATACCCTGGGCCTTGCCTCTCTATTAAAAACATTCAAAACATTGCACTACGACTATTTATCTGCCTTCCTACTAGAAATAAGTGTTTTGAGAACTGAGAATCTGTATACCTGGCATTTAGAAGTACCTGGACCACAGAATACATTTTGAGTTGATAAATGAATTACAAATATAAAGATGAGGAAATAGGTTTGGAGAAGTTAAGTAACATGCTGTAGGTTACATAGCTACTCAGTGGTGAGATACCACTTAACCTCAGGTCTTCTGACTGTAAATTCCTCCAAATACTATTTTATATCCCATTTCCAATCATTTATAAATACTCTTGGCTTTATATAATACAAAGAATTAAGCTGTTTCTTGGGTTTTCTTTTTTTTCTTTTTTTTTTTTTTTAATATTTATTTATTTATTTTTAGTTCTCGGTGGACACAACATCCTTGTTGGTATGTGGTGCTGAGGATCGAACACGGGCCGCACGCATGCCAGGCGAGCGTGATACGGCTTGAGCCACATCCCCAGCCCCCTCTTGGGTTTTCAATAACCGGAGGATACAGAAATAGGTTAAAAAGAAAAAGTTTGATTATACTGTGTGTTTTGTTAAGTGAAAGAGGTTCTTAACAAAAAAGAACACTTAGTGATGAGTCCAGGATCTAAATCAATATTTTAAAGAAGTCTTGGACCCTTATTGTCATATATGGGAACTCCAGAAAAAGCACTAAATATGGATGGTGTTTGATACCTTTTGTTAGATGAATAAATTCAAAATAAAAACAAAATGACCAGAAGAGCTTCAATTCTACAAGACAAATATTCAGGGGACATAAAAGCAAACTAAATTCAGTTACATTGAAATATATTAGTTTTCTTAGAAAACAAAATCTAGAACAGTAAAAGTAAAATTTTTCTTTAAATGAATTATGTTTACTAAATGAGAATTTTAAAAAATTCAAAATATGTAAAATAGTCAACTATCATGTGACCACTTATGAAGAAACATCAAGAAACAGCTTTTTATTTAAGCTGTACTAAAAAATTAGAATGTTCAATTTGTTCAATAAAATTGTGTAGATAATGCAATATGTGTCACTAACATAATGAGTCATCATATTCCAAAGTATAAATTAGTCAAACAAATGGTAAGTTACATGGTAACTTAGATGCAATCTCTCTTAGGCAAGAGGAGAAAAGTTTTCTAATGAAGATTATGGCAGATGATCAGATTTCCTTGCACCATTTCTTAAGAGATTAACACATTCCCCATTTTCATATAGAGGGAAAGTTGAGTCATTGCACTTTTCAAAGCATAGTTTGTCAAAAAGAAATTCTGAATGTTTGCTTTGGCTAAATCTTTAGGCAACTTAGCACAACTGCACAAAATACTCAGTCATACAGATATTAACCCTAGCATAAATAAGCCGGCCCTTATTGTTCCAAAAAGAAGCAAAGAAAATTATTAAATAGTGAATAAAGTTTTCTTAAACTGGAATCTATTGAAAATTAATTGAGACATTCAAAAAAGCATTTTTTTACTGCAGTCCATTACAGTTTAACAAGTAAAAAACTAGATCTCCTTATGGTGCTAGAATAGTTACTGAAATTTCTAAGGATCCTGGTATACTAACAAAATAGATTTCTTAGGAGTATCTGTATGACCCATCAAGTCTATGTTTCTAAATAAATTTCCCAATGCCTATAAAAAGTGGTTGGCTATAGAAATGTAATAAATTGTTAAGAAATTTAAAAACTTCCTTTAAAAGCAGCAACATTATAAACAGCATAGTTATGAAAAACTATTAAAAAGTGTTGTACTTCTGCAGGCACTGTAGCTCAGTGGTAGAGCACTTGTTTATGATGCTCAAGATCCTGGGTTCTATTCCCAGCACTACTAAACAGGAAAAATACTATACTGAAACTTCATTATTAGTTGCTTGAATGGTAACTAGAAAGGCAGATGGAGAATGAATGGTTAAAAACCATAATTCGGCTACAGGAAATCTCTTTCTAAATTAACACAATTATATAAGATAAATTTCATTAAACTAATTATAATTAAATGCAGTTTACCTGTACAGAGATAATGTAACCATGTGAGTTTCCTTCCACTGAAATGCTGGCTATAAAATAATTCAAACTGTAAAGAAAAGAAAATCAAATTATTTTCAGCTACTATAGCTTGTCCTACTTAGTTATCCCACATAAAAAAGTTTTAAAAGTTCACATTAGAAGACATTATAGCCCATCTGATATACCTTGTCATTTTACAGATGAGAAAACATATCTGTGCTCATACAAACATTATCTCAGAGTTTTTGTTTTGTTTTGTTTTTGAGGTATAACATTACAACAGGTTTAATAAAACCACTGATCTTTGCAAAATAATTTTATGTTAACACTTTGTGCCTGGGGTAGCAGCATCTTATACTGTGACATTCCTATACATACGTAAGTACTTCATCAAAGCATCAACATTAAAATCATAGTAGCCAAGCACAATCATGCATGTCTGTAGTCCCAGCTACTCCAGAGACTGAGGCCGAAGGACTACTTGAGCCCAGGGTTTGAGGCCACTGTAGGCAACATAGCAAGACTCTCCTTCCTTAAAAAAAAAAAAAAAAAAGTAGGTGGGTGGGGCAGAATAACTTAGCCAATTGCCTGCACAAAGGTAAACAGCCACACTGTAGGTTATTTTTCTTCTTGAATCATTTCTGCAGTACAGTAAATTGCTATTACTATCAGTAAAATGATACCAATCTATCCAAGCTCTTTTAATTGRCAACCTTATTCAGGTTTTTCTATTAAACCACATCATTTGCAAACTTTACTTCTGGTTTAAATTCAGAAATGACATAGTCAATGATTTGTTATTTTTGAACAATATTTACTTAGACTTCATAAATTATTGACCAAATGCACCATCACATACATTTCAGCATAAAAATGTCATAATTTTATTATATCATATTTGCCAAAAAATACTCTTACTGATGTGGCAGACCAATTTAAAAGATGTGTGGCTATGAAGTATTATATATGATTTAACTTCTACACTTAAACACTAATCCAAAGAAAGTTTTAGGGAACTCTTCTTTGGATATTATTTTGTTGATATTATTGTGAATGAGTAAATTTTAAATTCTGTCAATGTAGGTAAATCTTTTTTTTTAAATATTTTTTTGGTTGTTGATAGGCCTTTATTTTATTTATTTATATGTGGTGCTGAGAATTAAACCCAGTGCCTCACACATGCCAGGCAAGTGTGCTACCACTGAGCCACAGCCAAAGCCTCAATGTAGGTAAACCTTAAAACCTTCTTTCCTGAATTGAATGTGTAATTACTGGACATGAGTCCAAAAATACAGAGTTCATATCTTTTACAGGGGATGGGAGTATGGCTCAGTGGTAGGGCATGTGCTTAGTGTGCAAGAGGCCCAGGGTTCCAATCTCCAGAACCAAAAACAGAAAAGAAAAAACGATCAAGAGCTAGTACATAATATATAGTAGGAAAATAATACTGAAATATGAAAAGATAAAAAGTTGATTTCTTTATAAAGCTAAAAAATACACAACTGTAGCCAAGTCAAAGTTGAGAACTGTACATATATGGTTAGCATTAAGTGCCATATGTAACATCTAAAACTTTTAGCTACATATCAAATATATTTTGAAAATAGATTTAAAAAAAGCAATTGCAACACTTTGACTATTAGCTATACTATGATCCATCCTTACTATGAAAGTTTAAAGCTCTAACCAAAAGAATCAATAAATTCTTTTTGCAGTTTATTCCAAGTTTGCCTAGCTCTAGGAAGCTGAAATTTGTTGAACATGCTTTCTCTCCAGTGGCAAAGCATCCTCCTCCAAAAAACCTTTTACATGATAAATAGGAAATGGCTGGCACCTGGGATACTTAAGAATTTTGTCTTCCTGATTCTAATTCAGACAGCTAATCAAAGTATGTCAGAAGAGGATTCCAGAAGAAAATATGCTTGACTAATTAATAACCTCTCAGAGTGACAATAAAATTCAATTGCAATATACGACTCATAATTTATCCATAAAACACAATTTATAGACAAAAAGCAAACCAAAACATCTTTAGAAATAAGAAACTCAACCTTTGAAATGTTATTTACAAACCATTTAAGTGCTGCACTAGCTTCAAGATAATGTATATTGCAAGCTCTGAAACTATGTTTTACTTTTTTATACTCCCAGCAACTAGTACTACTCAATAGGTTATATTGATGATATATGCCAAAAGGAAATATTCCTTCATCCTTAAGATTAAAATCTGATTAAAGACTCTCACACATATAACTAGTCAAGAACAAAAAAGACTAAGCTATAAATGTAATTATTATTTCACCTGGTACTAAAAAGACAAAAGTTGCAAGACCTTGCTTAATTACATTGTTAAGTAATTGTATTATCAAAGTTTATTAGTAAGACATATATGATATGATAACTATCATATCATATATGTTATCATATCATATCATATATGATATGATAACATATATGATAACTAAATTTCTCACTTTAAAGTAAACAAGTAAGCCAGGCATGGTGGCCCACACCTGTAATCCCAACAACTCAGTAGGCTGAGACAGTAGGATCAAAAGTTCAAGGCCTCAGCAACTTAGTGAGCTCCTAAGCAACTTAGTCAGAACTTGTCTCAAAAAATAAAAAGAGCTGTGGATGTAGCTCAGTGTAAAACACCTTTGGGTTCAATCCCCAGGACCAAAATAAATAAATAAACAAGCTAGGGGCTAGGGCTGTAACTCAGTGGCAGAGTGCTCACCTAACACATGTGAGGCACTGGGTTCAATCCTCAGTACCACATAAAAATAAATAAATAAAAATAAAGATATTATGTCCATCTACAACTAAAAGAAAAACAATTTAAAAAGTAAACAAGCTAAAGGACAGCATTTTTCAAATATCATTTCAGGATTTATTAATTAAAACTAAAAAGATCTTAAAAGTTGACATTTGATACTTAATAAACTTATTCATCTCCAAAAGACAGCTGATTAATAGATTTTAATTATGTGTAAAAGAGAAGTAATTTTTGGTAAATGGCTATATTTAAGATTAAGATGTAAAAAATACGAATCATTTCTAAGTCAAAATAAATTAATTTACATGTGAAAATGTATACTTTTAAGTACACACATGATTTCAATTTTATGTAGTTAAAAACTTGGATTCATTATATATATATATATATATATGGATAAGAACTGGAGGCTTAGCTTAGTAGTAGAACACTTGCCTAGCATACTCAATTCCCTAGGTTCAATCTCCAGCACTGCAAAAAATAAAAAAAAAAAAAATTTAAAAACCCCAAATATATGGATAAACTCCCTCTACTGGTACTTAGAGGAACTAAGTAGTCTTGAAATCATAATTTTAGTCAGAAAAACTCACTTCCTATTTGTAAATGAAGAAACTAAAACCTGATAATGGTTGTAAATTAATAAAGTTCAAGGGGTTAAAAACCCTTCTTGGAAAATAATTAAGAGAGAAGGAAAAAGGGCATAAAGTTAAAAGAGAACTATTTTTGGTGGCCCCCACTCTCTCCCTTAACTTCAACTGGAGAAGAAGGGTTTCAAAAATAGGTAAGTTTTAATGATGGAGAAAGAGACTGATTCATTCCAAATGACTTTTTAGTAAAATTTCAACTTTCAAGAGGTAAGTTTTATTTATTTTTTAGTTGTAGTTGGACACAATACTTTTATTTCATTTATTTATTTTTATGTGGTGCTGAGGATTGAACCCAGGGTCTCGCACATACGAGGCGAGCGCTCTATTGCTGAGCCACGATCCCAGCCCCCCCAAAAAGAGGTAAGTTTTAAGACTGTCAAAAGAGACAGTGTCAATGTTCTTTCTCCTGCCTAGTCACAAATAGATTAAAATGCTTTATCTAGCTACCCCAGGGACCTAGTTTGCAACTTCAAAACACTTAATAACCTAACATAATGTTCTGATCATCCAAAGATAGATGCTCTTCTTCATGTTATTTCTTGTAAAATGTCCCAAATTTGACTACTAAAAGTCTACCTGTGTGTGGTATCCTCAACTCTACAGCCAGTAATACTACTCTCCTCTACTATCACCACCACTGCTACAAATAAAACTGCTATAACTATTATTTCTACTATTAGCTGCCACTGAGTATTTACTACATACCACACTAAGAGCTTTAACGGATCATCTCATTTCATTCTCCTATCAATATTCTGAGGTAATAATCAGTTTAACAAAAGATTAAAAAGTTACTTTCCCAAAGTTAGAGTATATTTAATTTTATAACAAGTATCTGAAATCAGGAATTACGATTCTAGAGTCTATACTGTATTTAAAAAAAAAAAAAGACAAAAATAAAATACTTGCCTTTTTCTTTCTCTCTCTTTTTTTTTTTTTTTTTGGTACTAGGGATTTTACCTAGGGGTGCTTTACCACTCAGCTACATTCCTTTATTTTGAGACAGGGTCTTACTAAATTGCTTATGGTCTTACAAAAGGCTACATCTGATATAATCCCACATACATGAGATATTCAAATAGGCAAATCCAGTGACAGGAAGTAAACTGCCTAGAGTGGAAGGAGAAGATAAGGGAAAAATGAACAGGAACCACTAATAAATAGAAGCTTTCTTTAGGGTCAATTTTTAGGTATTGAAAATGTTCTAAAATGATGGCAGCCAAAGTCTGTGGATATTCTGCAGTTTAAGTACTCTTAATCTGAAAATCTCAAATTTCAAATGATCCAAAATCTGAAACTTTTTGAGGCTAACATGATACCACAAGCAAAAAAATCCACACTTCATATGATTCATATGGTGGGTCACAGTCAAAATGCAGGTGTACTAAAAATACTCTATACAAGTATCTTCAGGCCATGCACATAAAGTGTATATTGTCATAAATGAACTGTGTTTAGACTTGGTTTCATACCCATAAGATATCGTTATTCAATATTCTCAAATCTAGTGGGGGAAAAAAATCCGAAAGATTTTAGTTCCTAAGCATTCTAGATAAAAATCACTGACACTTTAAAGTGAATGGTATATTGTATGAATTATATAAACAGTTGTTATTAAAAAAAAAAAAAAAAAAAAGATGTTCTCCATGGTTTCTTTAGAAACTTTTTGGTCAGCATTCTAGGGTTTCTACTTAGTCAAAGTTTAAAGCAATTTTTACTTAAATTTCTTTTSTAGGATTATTTCTCATTCCACATATATTTATCTAAATTACAAGGCAGAAATAAAAATATTATAAGGGGTAAATAATGTATATAAATGGTTCAAAATTCAAATGGAATTAAGATTTTTTTTTTTAAATGCTGGGTTCTAAACTTTCTTCCAATATAAAAAAGTTCTAAGTTTAAAACTGCTTAAGAATAGATACTAAGCCAGGCATGGTGGCTTACGCCTGTAATCCACATGGCTCGGGAGGCTGAGGCAGGAGTATCCTGAGTTCAAAGCCAGCCTCAGCAAAAGCAAGGTACTAAGCAATTCAGTGATACTCTGTCTCTAAATAAAATACAAAATAGGGCTGGAGATGTGGCTCAGTGGTCGAGTGMGCCTGAGTTCAATCCCCAATATCCCAGCCCAAAAAAGGGAAAAAGGGCTGAGCATATAACTCAGTGACTAAAAAAAAAGAACAGATACTAGATTTACTAAGAATAAGAGAAAAATCATGACAAGGAACTGCTTTTATACTCTCAACATTTTAGTTTTGAGACTAGTAAACATAATAATTCATTCTTTCTGAAGGACACAGACTCTAATTTGTAAACATATTTTTCTAGCACATAAGCCATTAAGACTTAGGGAAAATACTGAAAATGATATAATACAAAAACAATTACTGGGCCTGAGGGTATGGATCAGTGTATAGTATGTGCTTAGCATGCACAACTAAAATTCCTTTGATTTGTTAATGTCTTCCTGCAAACTTACCATCTGTACACTTTTTTCTAATTCCTGGGGTATTGCAAATGTAGACGAAGGAGCCTGAGTAAGAGGCCATGCACCAGCCTAGAAGGGAAAAAAACCCAAAAAACAAAATCAACATCTAACTTGAAATAAAATATTTATAAAATGTTTAAGCATTAAGTTCTTTTTTCTTCCTCAAAATTTTAATAAAAATCAAAAGTATTATCATGGCACATTTCATTCTGAATCATTGTAACTATGGAAGCCATTAGGCACTCAGTTATTAATTCTTTATATCAGCATACTGAGATGATTCATAAATGCTAATAAGAAAACACATTTTCATACCTGTAGAACATATATTTGAAAACTAATTCCCAAATCTATTACTGTGTCTTGGTTTTTGATAAAATTGTTGAACTTATTGTTGAGATCAGCACTGACACTCATATCTGTATACATCCGATGTAGCTTGCTGGTAAACTCATAACCACAGGCTTGCTGTGAAAAAAAGATTCAAAAAGAAAAMTAATAAATCACAATGATTAATAAGAATGTATTGCTAATGTTAGTTCTTTAAAAATCCTTGCATGTAATGCTTACACCCAAGGCCTACATTATTTAAAACCCCAAGAAGCTATTTAAAACTTTTTAAAAATTTCGTTCCTTTTCAATGTAGAAGTGAAAGAAAATACATAATTATGAAATAATTTTAAAATATTAACTTTAAACATAGAAACTATTATAACAATCCACATAGCTATTTCAACACTGCAARATGCTTTATTACTATTAGTAAGATATCTTTTGGGCTTATACATAGCATAAATATACTTGAAAGATTATTGGCAATACTCCAGTCACAGTCAATTAAAAAAGGAGAGTATTTAAGACATATTTTTAATATCAGCTATGAAGTGATGAAAAATTTATTTTTATCAGTGTATAAGTTAAAATGATATAAAATTAACTGAAGTTCAACTGCACTCTAATACTTGTAAGGAATATTTTAGAAAACACATTTATATGTATTATGAATTCTTTTAAAGAAACTATCTTGGAGATCTTTCCATATCAATATATATGGAGACATTTTGTCCTTTTAATGCAGTATTTGTATCTCCCCGTTATATGAATACATCAGCATACATTTAACCATTCAGTCCTTGTTGATGAATTATTTCCTGTTACTATATACAATGCTGCAATAAACGTCTTTATGTACTGGTGGAATAAATTCTAGGGCATTGGTATGTCCAAAGTTTACATTACCTTTAACTTATTGATCATGGCTTCTTCAGAATCCATAGACATAGATAAYCCATGAATTAAACGTTTTGCCAGCATTCTTGCGTAGAACTACATTAAAGAAAAAATTTTAAACTTACTTCCTTTCTAATGACTTTAAGTTCAAAAATACACAAAGCGGTTGATGCAAATCAAAACTTTTCTATTTATAACTTACCTTTTGAAAAACATCCTTATCATCAATATATTTGAAAACAGTAATGAAACTCGTAAGTTTGTCTTCTACTTCATTCTCAGTCATCCCTTTTGCTGACTTCTTTAGTAAGTTGTCACAGTACTTCGCAAGCTCAAATAGAAATTGATAATAAGTCTTATAAAGGGCCCTTCTAGACTTATCATGCCTCAAAGAAGGTAAAGTGGCAACAATACAAAATAAAATCAACAGATGGAAGCTTTGACATTCTAGACTAATGTTTTAAAAATCATGAACATGAACTACATAATTTAAAATATATGTGGCAAGGTAAATTTTAAAAACACAAAACACTAGAAGCAAAAAACAAAATAAACTCAAAAATCAAACACTGACAAAACAGGGATAAAAATAATATAAATTTCTAAAAGAACACATAGTTGAGTTTTGAGTAGTTCTGTAATTTCTGACAAAGAATAATGACTTTTTAAAATCTTAGAATAACCTTGGAAGCAAGTTTCCTTCAAAGGTTACCAACAACTTACCAGATTTCCTACTAACTATAAATATAACAAAATCTCCATAAAAATAATGTATATTATTTCAAAGCAGATACACTCTTCGTTTTGTTTTGTTTTGTGAGTACCAGGGATTGAACTCAGRGGCAYTTACCCACTGAGCCACATCTCCAGCCCTTTTTTGTATTTTATTTAGAGACAGGKTCTAACTGAGTTGCTTAGGGCCTTGCTAAATTGCTGAAGCTGACTTTGAACTCCTGCCTCAGCCTCCTAAGCCTCTGGGATGTTAGGAGTGAGCCACAGTACTCAGCTAAAGCAGATACACTTTAAAACCCAAACTTTGTATAATAAAATGTTTTCCTCCAGTTATTCCTTAAAAAAACAGTATGTAGAAAATAATTTTTCATCTATTTTTTTTCTGAAAAATGCTACCCCCCAAAAAAAAATTAATTTGAGATTGTGCTCAGCTTTCCTTTTCAAATACTAACTTATTTCATAAGATTACATTTAAGCAACCCTCAAACTTACCAATTCAGGTGCTTTGCAGACAGACTTGGGTTCTCTGTAATTTACAACTGATGTAAGGGCCTAAAGAGAAAACAGGTGTGTAATTAGCCACCAGCACTAGGGCAAAAGTTCAGGTGGTTCAATATATGCTATAATTGCTGTCCCCCCCCCCAAAAAAAAAAAACCCACCTACTATGATTTAATCTTAAATGTTTCCCAAAGGCCATGTGTTGAGGACTTGGTAGCCAGTCTATGACACTGGTGCATAGATGGTGGCAGAACTTTTAGGAGGTGGGGCCTAATAAAGGCAGGCAGGTCACCGGGACATGCCTTTGAAGGGGATATTGAGAAACTCTCTCCTCCTTCCCTAGCCCTGAGGTGAACATGTTTCCTCCACCACACACTTCCACCAAATTGTTCTGCCTTGCCAAAGGTCCAAAAACAATAGAGCTCCATTCCTATTTCTTTAAACTAAAATTTGAACATAAATAAAATAATGCTACTTTTTAAAAACTTTATAAATTTCCTACATAGAATAACAAAATCAAGTTTGTGAAATATATTTTCCATTCAAATATTTTAAATAGCCTATGTGGTATATGTGAAGAAATAATCAGTACTAAAGAATATTAAAATCATACATGCATTTTCAGAAGATACTAGTTTATAAACAATTCTGCTTACATAGCATAATAATAGGAAATTACACAGGCTTTCAGTTTAACAATTCATTTAATAAGTTAAAACTTATGTTATTCCTATTTTGACTTTCAGATTTTAGTTAGTTACTTAAGGTTAATCTCCATGTCTAGATCAAAAATCTCCTACTTAGAAGCCTAATCCTGACACTGCCTAACAAATGATAGAGAATTTTATATGCATCTAGTCTATATACATATAATATATATGTTAAAGTTACCTTGTCCAATGCACTCATAAAATGTTGATCACCATTCAAAACAGTGTTGATTAGTTGAACAAATTTACCATGTACTTCCAAAACTGACTCCACAAATAGTGTTGGCATCTAAATTTAAATATAAAATACAAAATATAAAACCACCTTTTAAAATAAATCAAGAATACAATTAGTCTTGTTAAAGATTAAGAGCAAAGTTACGGGCTGGGGATATAGTTTAGTTGGTAGAGTGCTTGCCTTGCATGCACAAGGCCCTAGGTTCTAGTCCCTAACAACAACAACAATAACAAAAGAGTAAAATTTACCCAAGCAAACTATGTTTCCTTCTTTCTCTCTGCCTTTCTTTCTCCCATTTCTTACACATATACACAAACACCTCCTACTCTCCCCAACTTTCTCAGAAAATGTCTTTAGCTATGATGATCTTAAAGATCTAAAAGTTTGCTGGTGAAATTAGTTTTTCTCATTCAACGTCATCACTGTCTAGTATATCTCCAAAATGAAACCACCAAAAGCATATTTCTCTCTTATGTTGAACACAGTATCTTAAGGGTAACAGAATAAGTCTTTGAAATACCAGATCTATCCCTTTCATAGGGAATTATATAAACAAAGACCACCCACAAAGTCACTGAAAGCTGAAAGAAAGAAAAGAATGGAAAAAGCCAGCATCTCTAAGACTAGATACCCCTGGAAATGGACAGTATAATCCTTATATCTCAGAAGGAAAAAATAAAATAGCTACTAGTGCAAAAATGAGCTTCCCTCTAAATGGAGATAACTGGARAAGTTAGTATCTAAGGTAGCGGATTTGAATTCACTGCAAATGCATTTTGTTACATTTCCATCTTCCAGCCTTGACACAAGACTCCATTGTTCTATGCCCAATGTTAATTCAATACCCTGACTCTATAAACCTAATAATGTAAACTAAGAAGAGTAACAAATAAGACAACCAACTATTCCACAAAATTGGAAAACTTATGATTTCCCATGGGAAAACATAAAAACTAAGAATTATTACTTGCTAAAGACAAGTCTACAATACCAATAATGAGCATCTAATAAGCATTCTTAAGCAATGATGTCCATACACAGATAACTATATTAAAGATGAGTTCAACTAAGGTAGAAGTTACATTTCATGTCAAGCAAATACTAGTAATAACAAAAAGGTAGACCATCACGATGAAACATCTATGAAAGAAATGCAATTTGTAAATATTGTTATTTGGTTGGTAGAGTACTCTTGAGAAGGTATTAGGGATGTGAAGGTCACTAACATATTTGTAATTTATTWGTAATTTGCCAATTACAAATAAACATGAACAAATAGGAAACAAATTTTTGTCTGAGAAGTTAACTGCTAAATGAACATATCAGTATGGCTAAGAAAGAGTCTCATTTAATGGTTTAATAATAACTTGATAATTCCAAAATGGGTCCAACAAATTCTAGGTTTAAAATATTTGAATAAAGATGTTTTTTATTTGTTGACAAGACTTTTTCTTTCCTCTGTAACAGTCAAAAGAAGAACTCTTGATAAATATTATTAAGGAAAAAAAAAAAACACTTTCTATTTCCTTATACACAACTCACATTTTCCTGAGTAAGGTTACTGGTTGCTCTAAGGCCCTCATCATGGATATGATTTTGCAGCTCCTGAATCATATGAGGTAAACCAGTAGACACAGCACGGAGTAAGACATACATATTTGCCATGTCTGAGGGGGAAAAGAAATTTCATTATTAAATTCCAAGATATTTTTAAATTAGTAGATAATGCATAGCTCAAAATGCCAAAATACAAGAGTATATAGGTTACATCCCCCTTGCCTTATCTCCCAGCCACCCGGTCTCCCTCCTTACAGGAGAGCAATGTTACAGTAGTTTATCCTTCTAAATATGTATGTACATTCAAGAAAATATACATATGCATATCCTATATACTCATATAAATATATATTCTTTACCCTGATCCTTTTTATATAAATAGTGCAGTGTATTTCTGTAGCTGCAAAACACATTTTAACTTAGAGGTATTTTACATTAGTATATAAAGCATTTCTAGATATTTTACAATTGCAGAGTACTTCACCATATAGGCAAATTACATTTACTTAAAACCTGATGGAAACTAAGGTTGTTTCAAATCTGATGATATTATATAATGTTGCGATTAATAATCTTATATATGGGCAAGAATATATGTAGCATAAATCTTGAAAAATRGGATTGCCAAGTCAATCTTATAGGCAGTTCCTTCAAAATAGAGATCCCAATAACAGGAAAGTCCCTTGCCAAGAAAGTGTCATCAAACACTTTGATCTCTGACAATGAGAGGTGAAATATGATGTCTTAGTACAGTGAGTTTTATTTTAAACTTTTTGTTCAAGAATATACAGAAACAGAAAAGTATGCCAATCATGAGTACAATTCAGTGAATTATCACAAGTGAACAAAAACACACCCATATAATCACACTTAGGGTTAAGAAACAGACTTAATCGGGGCATGGTGGTGCACACCTGTAATCCCAGCAGCTCAGGAGGCTGAGATAGGAGGATCGAAAATTCAAAGCCAGCCTCAGCAAAGGCGAGGCGTTAAGCAACTCAGTGAGAACCTGTCTTTAAATAAAATTTAAAAATAGGGCTGGGGATGTGGCTCAGTGGTCAAGTGCCCTGAGTTCAATCCCCAGTATCCAAAAAAGAAAAGAAACAAATTTAACCAATACCCAGAAGTTCCCTTCATGCATCCTCAGTCGCTACTCTTGTTCCTCTGCCAAGGTAACCACTGCTGTGACTACTAAATCAGATTAATCTTTGAGCTATCAATAAAAATGGAATCATGCARTTCTCTTATGACTAGCATCTTTTTTCAAAATAATATTTATAAGGATCATAAGGTTGTACTTAGTTTTAATCTGTTCATTTCTACTTTTCTGTAATATTCCATTGTACAAATATATTGTATTTATCCATTCCACTGTTACTGGACATTTGAGTTGCTTCCAGTTTAGAGATATCACAAATAACGTTGCTATGAACATTCTTATACATATCTTTTAGTACATACCTACATGCCTGGGGTGGGAGTTATATGCCTAGAAGATCTGCTGGATAATAAAATATGCACAGATTGTGCTTTAGTGGTCAATGTCAGTTTTTCAAAGTGTTTGTATCAATTTATTCTCTCATCCCAGCATACAACAAAATCCTGGTACTCTACACACTTCCAAATACATCTTCTTTTCAGTCTTTAAAATGGTATATCAAAATATAAGGAAGCTGGGTGTGGTGGCGCATGCCTATAATCCTAGTGGCTCGGGAGGCTGAAACAGGAGAATCACAAGTTCAAAGCCAGCCTCAGCAATAGCAAGGGGAGGCACTAAGCACTCAATGAGACCCTGTCTCTAAATAAAATACAAAATAGGGTTGAGGATGTGGCTCAGTGGTCAAGTGCCCCTGAGTTCATCCCCGGTACCCCACCCCAACCCCCAAAATATATATGAGGAAATATTCATATCTTACTGTGGTTTTGTGTRTTTAATTGGCATTCCCCTAATTTAATGAGACTGAAATACCTTTTTAAGTGTACATGTAAGGCTATTTGCATAGCTTCTATTCTGCAATGCTTACTGAAGTTTCTTGACTATTTTATATTCTGGATATAAATCTTTTCCATTCACTACAATATATTAACCTATGACTGTCTTTTGATGCTCCATTTGTCTTAAAGGACTTTTAATGTTCCAAAATTTTTCATTTTTAGTCTACTGGATCCTTCTTTCTTTGATTGTTACTGTTTTTTGTATCCCATTTGAAATTTTATTCGTTACCACAAGGTTATAAAGATAATTCGCCTATATTATCTTCAAGAAGTATTATTGTTTTACTTTTCACATGTAGTTAAAAAACTCCTGTGAGTTGATTTTGTATAAGGGATCTGAGGTAGAGATCAAATTTCTTTTTCTCAGCATTATGTATAGAAAAAGACTACCTTTCATTCACTGCTCTGTGGTACTACTTTGTAGTACCTCTTTCTCCCCCTACTTTACTGAGGATTTAACCCAGGGGCACTTTACCTCTGAACTAAGGGACTTTAACATAAGGGGCACTTTACCTCTGAACTAAGGGACTTTATCATAAGGGGCACTTTACCTCTGAACTAAGGGACTTTATCATAAGGGGCACTTTACCTCTGAACTAAGGGACTTCATATGCATAGGCTGTTTCACTTCAATGGACTATCTGCCTATCCTTATATCAATGCCTCATTGCATAACTTTGGTTTAYATGTCTTGCTATCCTCTAAAAGTCTTTCTAAAATGCTCTTTTAAGATCATGTTGGCTGTTCTTAGGCCAAGAGGACAACTTTCAGTATTTAACAAAAAGTGGCAAGGCAGTGTGTGGGGGCAGGTTATATTAGATTGCCCTGGGTTTATAAATCAATGTTGCTTTCATCAATGTTTAGTTTTCTACATAGGTGTGGCATACATGTCTTATGTTTATTCACTGCTGTTTAATAATCTTATTTTTGTGGTACCAGGGATTAAACCCAAGGGTGTTCAACCACTGAGCCACATCCACAGCCCTTTTATTTCATGTATTTATTTTGAGATGGGGTCTCACTAGGTTGCTTACAGCCTCATGAAATTGTTGAGGTTGGCTTTGAACCTGAGTGCCTCCTACCTCAGCCTCCTGAGCCACAAGGATTATAGGCATGCGCCATCACGCTTGGCTTATTCAATAACACTTAGTTCTATTTTCCCTTCTTCTGAATCATTTAATTTTTTTTGGTTATAATTACAATTTATTTGGTGGTATCACAGTGTATTTTTATTTTGTATTTCCCCGATTTTGAGTTGAGTATGCACATCTTCACATTTTAAAATCTATCCATATTTCCTTTGCCTTTATTCCCACTGTCTGTTAGGAACTAACATATTAAAGAAAGTAGCTTCTTTGATATATAAATTACATAAACACATTTTTCCAGTTTTTCTTTTGACTTTAGAATATACTTTGAATATAAACTTTCCAAAAATTAAACTACATAAACACATTTTTCCAGTTTTTCTTTTTTGACTTAAGAATATACTTTGAATATAAACTTTCCAAAAGTCTTTCAAAATACAGTAATAATCTATAAAAATGTATATAAAATATTTTTAAAGATATCAAAAAATATGCTTTTAAATTTAAGGTGGGTGGAAGATGATATATACTTTAATTTCTACTCAAACTTATGTGTGTTAGCACTTACCATTTTTTTTCTCTTGTCGAATAATATTATGACATTCTGCATGTAAGAACTGTAAGTGGTCTGCTACCATTCGTTGCTGACATTCATGAATCACTTTAGTATACGAGCTTGGATGTAAATATTTTCGACATCGAATTTCTTCATCTTTTAATCTACCTAGAACCTATAAAAATATATTCTTAAAATAATAAGCTACAAAGTTTTCCTGTACAGAAAAGACTATAACATCAGTAAATAACTCAGGCAGCTAAATTTTTTTTTTTTTTAAAGAGAGAGTGAGAGAGGAGAGAGAGAGAGAGAGAATTTTTAATATTTTTAATTTTTTTTTAGTTTTCGGCGGACACAACATCTTTGTTGGTATGTGGTGCTGAGGATCAAACCCGGGCCGCACGCATGCCAGGCGAGCACGCTACCGCTTGAGCCACATCCCCAGCCCAGGCAGCTAAAATTTTAATGGCTCTACTAAACAAAGAAAAGATAATGAGGTTTACATGACTAATTTAAACCCACAATCCATAAATCATTTCCAAAGTCTTATTTAAGTTACCAGTGTTCACCTATATTCCATCACAAACTTATAAACAAGAATAAAGTCTGCTTGTTATCTTTATTTATTAACCCTAATCTTCATATTATATGGAAAACTTAGCATGCAACAGGATAAGTTGGTAACAATAAATACCAGAACATGTGTTTTCTATATGAATATTTAACTACCAAACTAAAAAATTAGTTACATCAAGTAGATTACATTAATTATTTTACTTTGGCCTCTGCTCTCACAAAATGGAAACAAACACAGTATGTACATGATCATTAATTATGATAAATATTTCATTAAAATTTTAAAAGTCAAAATATACTTAATCACAGTCAAAGTCAACTAAGACGTTTTGGGATTGGAGATACTGCTCAGTGGTAGGCTGCTTATCTAGCATGCAAAAAGCCCTAGGTTCAATTCCCAGCACAAAAAAAAAAACCTTTACAAAAGCTTATATCGTATATAAAAAGCATTGAGCCAAGTTTGGTGATGCATGCCTATGATCCCAGAAGGCTGAGGCAGGAGGATCACAATTCAAAGCCAGCTTCAGCAACTTAGTGAAATCTTCTCTTAAAAAAAAAAAAAGCAGGTGGCAAGGGAAGAACAGGAGTGTGTCTCAGTAGTTAAGTGCTCCTGGGTTCGATCCCCATTCCCCATACCCCATTCCTCCAGCCCTACACAAAAAAATTGAAGAAAAAAAGAGCATCAAGGTACAAAATAACACTCTAGTCAACATTAATAAGAACCAGAGAATTTGACTAATTTTCAACACAAAACAACCAATACTGTTGTGATGAAAATTATGTTAGCATGGCACATATATATACACGAATTTGTAGACTCAGAAGACATTCTATGATGTGAAGCTATGTGACTAAAAACTCTGAATCTAACTGGTCCCATGGAATTATGTACATTTGACTGTTTGGAAGTTAGGGCTGCCTGGTAATGGTGGGAAGGAAAAATCATTCCTGGATACCTAATTAGATATCTTTCAAGGAAAATGAGGCTCAAAACTGTGGAGAGTCCCATACTCCTATCTCTTCTATTATGCTAACTCATTAAGTCAAAGTTCAGGGCAGTCATAGAAATTTAGGGTAGGCAAGAGGCTACCTAGATTAAAAAGGTATTCATCACATAATTTCATTAATTGAGAAAGTCATTTTGGTCAAYAAGCTTTTGATCAAAACATAATAAAAAATGTCCCTTAAAAATTAAGCCTAATAGTGATTTATATCGTATTATATGACTTTAAACAGCTTACTAGATTACTAAATGCAACAGGAATTAGAGTGTGGTTGCAGGAGGATAAAAGAAGGGGAAAAGTAAAACAATAGTGACCTGGGGAAAGGAGGTACATATCAAAGTAAACATACATTAGGTTGGATTGCCTCAATACAGGTCTTCAAATAGCTACAATAACATTGGTAGATGGGGAAAAGCCAAAACTAGGGCAGAGAAAAAGGGCAAGGCTATCCTAAAGAGTCTGTTAATTAACATAATATATTGTGATCAAAATCTAGGACTTTGGCCCTTTAAGTAAATATGGTTTACCACCATTTCCTGTAGTAAACTACTTAACACCATTTTCTGAACATAAATTATTTTCAATTCCCTACAATTTTTTTAGCACTTTCAAATATAATTTCACAATTTAAAATACATAGTTGGTATATTAATATAATATTAATACAAAATGTTTTAAAATCATATTAAAATATATTTTCATATTTGCTACTTTAATCATTTTCATGAACATCTAATTCATGTGGCATTAATTACATTTCTGATGTTACATAGCTATCTTATTTTTTAAAAGTTTTTCCTTAACCCAAATAGAAATTCTATAACCATTAAGTAATAACATCCCACACCATCTTCCACACATAATGTCTAATCTGCATTTTTTCTCTATGAATTTGACTAATTCTTCATATAAGTGAAACTATACAATATTTATTTTTTTGTGTGTCTGGCTTACTTAAGATTTTCAAAGTTCATCCACATTGTATCAGTACTTTATTCCTTTTTAAGACCAAATAATATTCCATTGTTATGTATATACCACATCTGCTATTTGTTTTGTTTTGTGATGCTGGGCATTGACCCATGGCTTCTCAGGTACTAGGCAAGTCCTCTACCAACTGAGCTAGACCCCTAGCAACTGCTTATTCTTTCAACTCTTGATAGACATCTGAAGTATTTCCATCATTTGCCATGGCCTCTTCTTGAGAGTCAGACATAACAAGGTTTGTATGCATCATGGTTACTGTTTGTACAATTTCTTTGACTTACATCTAGAGACTTAAACAAAAGTTTAAGATGCAATAAAAGCTAAGAGCTAAGAACTACTTACCTAGACTAACCTGTACTTAATGGATGGGGGGAAAGTCTTAGATTGTTCACTCAAGATCTAGCATTATTTAGTGATAAAAGTAGTAAGAGAATTAATTAACTCAGACTTCTAGTTCTGGGCTTTGTGGACTGTGTAACATTATATCAGAAGCACTGATGATTCTTGACCTGTGTTCTATGGAGAATAGACTACAGGTATTCCACTGTAGTGGAAGATATTTTATCTTCTTGGTTAAACCAACTAACAAAAGGCATCCAATAATAAAATATTTGAATCCAATACTTCAGATAAAAACCTTGATTAAAAATTTCAATGTATCTTCTATGATGATTAAATTTATGATGTGACGTTTTACTACTCAAAAATAAGTGTGAAATTTTAAACATGATAATGTGCTGTTTTATTGATTTTTTTTATACTTTTATTTTATTTATTTATTTTTATGTAATGCTGAGGATCGAACCCAGTGTCTTGCACATGCTAGGTGAGCACTCTTAACGCTGAGCCACAACCCCAGCCCCTGGTTAATGATTAGTTAAAATTTTTCTGTAAGTTTTCTGCTTATAATCAGCCTTCCAAGAACTTAACAGACTAAAATAGTAACTTATACAACTATCTAGAATTATCTTATTTTCCTTCCATTTAAAAATAATAGTAAGAGTCCAAACACCTAATTTCTGTACTTATCCTATTTCTTAAACAAATCACTAAGCACACAAACCCATTATATACCCCAAATGGATATATGTATTAATTTAACCGATAAGCAAAATTATGCTTAATGATAAGCAGTCAGGATTTATCAAAAGCAATCAGGATTTATTAAGCATGATAAAAAGTATAACAGCTATAGTAAGAGCAATGGCTTACTAATAAATGTATGTTATCATAACTTAAAGAGATGAAATAAACAGAATCTTTTTTCACCAAAGAATATTTTAACTAAAAAATTATGTTAAATAAAACTATGCCAGATATATAATAAGTGAAGGTATGTAACATGGTGTGTGTTATTTCTTACCTTTTCCATATACTGTGAGCAATTTGATTCTTGTAATAAATTTGAAGCTTCTTGTTTGTAATACTCTCCTGTTTCAGTCAGAAAGGGAGACTCAAAGATTTCCTGATAAAACTGAATAAAATAATTAAAATCATATTAGGAAAAAACTGCAACAAATAATTCAAGAAATTAAAGATCTGATTATATTTTTAAAGGAGGTTTTTTACCTTTAAGGGAAATTTTTTCTTATACTGTTCAACATGAACAAAGGAGTTAATAACCCCATGGATTACTTTCTGGTTTGGGTCTTCTCCACCACGATCACTAAAATAGGGTATAACACAAAATATTCTTGAGAATGACAAAATATGACTGTTTATTTCATTGCCCTAATCAAATTATAAAGCACTTAAAAGTCAAAGAACATATAAAGCTTAAAAATAAAGTTTTTCATATCATAGCTAAACTTAGTATACATAGTTAATACATACAAAGTTATTTAAATAAAGTTTTGTTAATTAAATTAAACATGYCAATAATTTAATTTTAATAAAGTATACACAAATTCATCAATACTGGAGGATTAATCCTGATGGCTTGAATTTCAGTATTTCAATGTAATAAAGGCCATTTACAATAAAAGAACAACTAACATTATACTGAATGGGGGAAAAGCTGAGTGCTTTCTAAGATCATAAACAAAACAAGAATGGACACTTTCACCACTTTTATTCAACAGAGCCCTAGAAGACCTAGCCAGAGAAATCAGGCAAGAAAAAGAAATAAAGGCCATTCAAATTAGAAAAGAAGCTGAACTGCCACTACTTGTAAATGACATGATCTTTTATACAGAAAACTCAAAAAACTAAAAATAAATAAATTCAGCAAAATTGTAGGATGCACAAAAGTCAGCAGCACTATTAAATGCCAATAGAAATTATTTTAAATAGAAATCAGGAAAACAATCCTATCTTATAATTGCTACCCCCCCACACAAAAAAAAAAAGAAAAAGAAATAACTTTATGCAAAAAGGTGAAATATCTTTTTTTTTGGAGAGAGAGAGAGAATGAATTTATATATATATAAAATTTATATATATATTTATATATATATATATATTTAGTTTTCAGCGGACACAACATCTTTGTTTGTACGTGGTGCTGAGGATCGAACCCGGGCCGCACGCGTGCCAGGCGAGCGCACTACCACTTGAGCCACATCCCCAGTCCCAAGGTGAGATATCTTTAACCATGAAAATTATAGAACACTGATGAAAGAAACTAAAGACACAAAAAAAGTAGAAAGACATCCTATATTTCTGGACTAGAGGAACTGATATTGTTAAAATATCCATACTATCCAGAGTGTTTTACAGATTCAATGCAATTCCTTTCAAAATACCAAAGATATTCTTCAGAAACCAGGAAAAAAAAAAAGAAATCCTAAAATGTATATGAAGCCTGTAATCCCAGCAACTTGGGAGGCTGAGGCAGGAGGATTCAAAGTTCCAGGCCAGTCTCAGTAACTTAGTGAGGCCTGATCTCAAAGTAAAAGATTAAAAAAAAAAAGCTAGGGATATAGCTCAGTGGTAAAGCACCTCTGGGTTAAATCCCAAATACCCTCCTCCCCCAACAAAGCGTACATGGAAATATTGAAAACCCCAAATAGCCAAAGGCATCTTGAGCAAAAAGAATAAAGCAGGAGACATTACATTGCCTAATTTCAAAACAAATTACAGAGCTACAGTAATCAAGACAATAAGGTATTGGCACAAAAACACATGTTGATCAATGGAACAAAATAGACAGCCTAGAAATAAATCCTCATATCAAATTGATTTTCAACAAATATGCTAAACACATGCATTGTTGAAAAGACAGTCTTTACCATCAATGATGCTAGGAAAATTGAACATCTACATGAAAAAAAAATGAAGTAGGCACTTCTCTTTCATCAGTTACAAAGATCAACTCAAAATAGAGTAGATTTAAATGGAAGACTATGAAACTACTAGAACTAATAGAAAAAAGAAATGCTTCAAGATAGGAATGGGCCATTTATTGATTCTTGATTTTAATTCTTGCCCTACAGGAGTCTTATTAAGGAATTTGGGGCCTAAATCCCACATGATGAAGATTAGGGTCTACTTTTCTATTAAGCAGACAGTCTCTGGTTTAATTCCTAAGTCCTTGATCCACTTTGAGTTGAGTTTTGTGCATGGTGAGAGATCKGGATTTAACTTCCTTTTGTTGCATATGGATTTTCACRTTTTCCCAGCATCATTTGTTGAAGAGGCTATCTTATCTCCAATGAATGTTTTTGGCACCTTTGTCTAATATTAAGATAATTGTAATTTTGTGGGTTAGTCTCTGTGTCCTCTATTCTGTACCATTGGTCTACCAGTCTGTTTTGGTGCCAATCCCATGCTGGGTTTTGTTATTATTACTCATGGGAAAAGATAACCCTTGCACACTGTTGGTGAGAATGTAAATTAGTACAGCCTTTTTGGAAAATAGTATGAAAATCTTTTCAAAAAATGAAAAATATAATGACTACATAATCCAGCAATGGATCTACTAATGGGTACATGCTTAGTATGTACACACTACTGGGTACATACTCAAAAGAAATGAAATCAGTATGTTGATGAAACATCTGAATTCCTATGTACATTGTAGCCTAGAAATGGAAGCAAGTAAGTGTCTATCAAATGATGAATGAATAAACAAAACCTGGTACATGGATAAAAAGGAATACTATTCAGCAATAGAAGGATGAAATTCTGTCATTTGTGGCAACATGGATGGAAATGGCAATCATTATGCTGTGAAACTAACCAGGCACAGAAAGATAAGTATCATTATAACCTGACTCATGTGGAATCTAAAAAAAATTTGATCTCATAACTTGAAAGTAGAGTGGTGATTATCAAAAGGTKGGGGATGAGGTGAAATGGGGAAGGTTTATCAATGAATTCTAAGTTATAAGTCAACAGGTGTAAGAAATTCTGTTGTGCCATTGAATCGGAGATAATGGACATTACTACAGATAATGATAATGTACTGTATGTCTCAAAAATCTAGAAGAAAAAAAATTTAATGTTTTCACCACACAGAAAGGATGTTTGGTGAGATAGTTTAGCCAGATTTAAAAATTACACAATGTATACATGTATAAAAACTGTACGTGGCACCCCATTAACATTTGCTATTTTTGTTTTATACATCAATTGAAAAAAATTACTTAAATGTTACTGGCCACTTCTTATTAGAAGGTTTGGTCTGAGAATGTCAGTCTTTGAACCATTACAAGTTGACCACAGTAATTTGAGAGTACTTATTCCCCAAAGGTACATACCATAATGTATCACTTAGTAAAATGACCAGCAGCTATTGTTCATTGCTCTAAGTGAACTGCTAGCACTGCTGAGCTGCTTTCTAGATCAAAGGAACTATCAGTTCTGAAATTCAATTAGATTTGTTGAGATTCCTATATCCCTTTATAGCTACAAAGAGATGTAAGATCATCTCAAAACATCAATAAGACATTTTACAAGTTCCTATTTAGCTTCTGGCACTACTGCAATGCAGGTCTTAATCACATTACAAATGCAGGTGAATATTAGTTCTCTAATTACAGAATAGGAAAATAGGGTACTGGGGGTGTAGTTTAATCATAGAGTGCTTGCCTAGCATTGCTAGGAGCCACAGCAAAAGTATTATGATACATGGTACCTTTGGTTTAGGTGACTGCCAGCTAGCCATTGAGATGATATGATTATGTTAAGCTTTACATTCATATGGAAATTGGACTCCTGCTGTTCACCTCGGCCTGTTASGGGACTCATRTTACTCATGTAATGGGAGAGTTCCCATTGGTTGGGGAAGGATAGTAGGAGGGAACTTCCGGGGGAGGTCAGGGCGCCCGGTTCCGGTGGCGACACGTGGGTCGACCTGCTTGCTAGCAGGGCGCACACGGGACGCTGGCGGCTTTTTTTAAATAAAGCTTTGTTTCCCGCTTGAACGGCTTGTGTTTCTGTGCCCAGCCGGGTTGAGCGGCTTGTGTTTCTGTGCCCAACCGGGTTGCGGCGGCTCGTGTTTCTGTGCCCAGCCGGGTTGCGGCATAGCATGTACAATGTACTGAATTTGATCTCCATCTCTGCCCCCAAAAAAGGAAAACGAAGTGGAAAAAAATAAAAGTTTGCCTAAAGTCACAGTAAAACAGTCTGGCCCTAAGCAGGAAGTTTCTGTCTCCAGTACTTATTAACAAATCATTATGCATTGAAAAATTTATTCTACTACAGAAAATCTTCCAACCTACTTGAAAATAATTTTTCTTATAAATTAATAATTACCTTACAAATAAAGCAACAGGAAAATATATTATCATTCTCCACTAATAGCTTTTTATTCCTTATAGAAGATATAAAAATGTTTTAGAATTTAAAAAAACAAAAAAAGCAATGAAGGTTGGAGTTCTGGCTCAGTGGTAGAATGCTTGCCTAGCATGTGTGAGGCACTGTGTTCGATTCTCAGCACCATATATAAATAAATAAAATAAAGGTCCATCAACAACTTAAAAAAAAAAAAAAACAGCACTGAGGGCTGGGGTTGTGGCTCAGAGGTAGAGCGCTTGCCTAGCATGCGTGAGGCAATGGGTTTGATTCTCAGCACCACTTATAAATAAAGTCCACTGACAACTAAAAAAAAAAAAAAAAAAGTAAAACAAGGCTATTTACAATAAGACACAGTCAAAGCCCGGTCAATAGTAATGCAACTGTACATTGTTTTAAAAACTTGCCAAACATGGGCTGGAGATGTGGCTCAGCGGTAGCGCGCTCGCCTGGCATGCGTGCGGCCCGGGTTCRATCCTCAGCACCACATACCAACAAAGATGTTGTGTCCGCCGAGAACTAAAAAATAAATATTAAAAAAATTCTCTCTCTCTCTCTCTCTCCTCTCTCACTCTCTCTTTAAAAAAAAAAAAAGAAAAAAAAAACTTGCCAAACAGCAAAATAAAACAGACTCAGTGTTAATTTGAATTGTCAACTTGATTGGATTAACAGGTGGTGATGGATTCCTGGCTATGTGTAAAAATGTATTTGATTTATGGGTGTTGATTGTATATGCTGCTACTTAGCTGAATTCATTTATTAGTTCTGGAAGTTTTCTGGTGGAATTTTTTGGGTGTTTTAAATACAGAATCACATCTTCAGCAAACAGTGATAGCTTGAGTTCTTCCTTTCCTATTTGTAACCTTTTTATTTTATTATTTTATTATGATTGTTCTTGCTAGAGTTTCAAGGACTATGTTGAATAGAAGTGGTAAAAGAGGGCATCCCTGTCTTCTTTCAGTTTTCAGAAAGAATGCTTTTAACTTTTCTCCATTTAAAATGATGTTGGYCTTGGGCTTACCATAGATAGCATTTGCAATGTTGAGGTATGTTCCTACTATCCCTAGTTTTTCTAGCGTTTTGAACATAAAGAGGTGTTGTATTTTGTCAAATGCTTGTACTGCATGTATTGAGATGATCACATGATTCTTGTCTTTAAGCCAATTGATGTGATCAATTACGTTTACTGATTTCTGTATGTTGGACCAATCTTGCATCCCTGGGATGAGCCCCACTTGATCAAGGTACACTATCTTTTTAACATGTTTTTGTATGCAATTTGACAGAATTTTATTAATAATTTTTGCATCTCTGTTCGTCAGGGATATTAGTCTGAAGTTTTCTTTCCTTGATGTGTTTTCATCTGGTTTTGGTATCAGAATGATATTAGCCTCATAGACTGAGTTTGGAAAGGTTCCCTTCTTTTCTATTTCATGGAATAATTTGATGAGTATTGGTATTACTTCTTCTCTGAAGGTCCATCTGGTCCCAGGCTTTCCCTGGTTGGTAGGTAAAATCAGCATACTACAGTGACTCAGCCACATCAATGTTTATAGCAACTCAATTCACAACAGCTAAACTATGGAACCAACCTAGATGCCCTTCAACAGATGAATGGATAAAGAAAATGTGGTACATATATACACACAATGGAATATTACTCACCCTTAAAGAAAAATGAAATTATGGCATTTGCAAGTAAATGAATGGAACCAGAGAACACCATGGTAAGTGAAATAAGCCTATCCCAAAAAACCAAAGGCCGAATGGTTTCTCTGATAAAAGAATGCTGATCCATGGCAAGGGGTGGGGGGTAAGGAAGAATGAAAGAACTTTGGATTGTACAGAGGGAAGTGAGGGGAGGGGTGGGGCTGTGGGGATGGGAAGGACGGTAGAATGCGACACATTATTACCCTATATATGTATGATCACACTACTGGTGAGACTGCACCATGTACAACCAGAGGAATGAGAAGTTGTGCTCCATTTGTGTATAATATATCAAAATGCATTCTTCTGTCATGTAAAATTAATTAGAAAAATTTAAAAAAAAATAGAAGGGAGTCCAGTGGAATAGAAGAAGATAATTGGGGCCTAGGGTTGTGGCTCAGTGGTAGAACGCTCACCTAGCACATGCGAGGCCCTGGGTTCGATCTTCAGCACCACATAAAAATAAATAAAGATATTGTGTCCGACTAAAAAGTAAGTATTAAAAACAAAAGAAGAAGAGAGAATTGGGATAGGGAAGGGAGGGAACAGGGAGGGACTGAGGAATGAAATGAATCAAATTATACGGTTTTATTGGGTGTGCATATGAATATAACAAATCCCACTATTATAATGTGTCAATTTAAAAAAAAAAAAGGATGCCAATGATTAAGAGGCTTCTGGGTATGTCTGGGTATGATTTGGGCCATGAGGGATAGCCAACTGAAGTGGAGACCCTCCATAAACATATGCCAATAGGATGATGGCTTGGGTGAAATAAAAGTTGGAAGAACAAGGAAGCAGCAGCAAATGCAAGCTAGATTCTTCTTGAATTGGGTTCTTGATTGCTACTGCGATCATCTAGGGGTATCAGACGCTTGCTTCTTCACTCTTCCAAAGCAGACTCTGCTAGTGATTCTCTAAAGAGTTCCCAGAAGCCTTTAGTCTTGGACTAGGGTAGCACCATTGATCCCTCTTGTTCTGGGGCTTCAGTCTCTTGGACTGAGCAGCTACTAATTCTTCGAGGTCTCAGCCCATTATGGACTATCCAGCTTTTGGTTGCATAAGCCAACCTAATAAATCCCCCCCACTTTTAAAAAAATATTCACTTTTTAGTTGTAGTTGGACACAATACCTTTATTATATTTTTATGTAGTGCTGAGGATTGAACCCAGGGCCTCGAATGCATTAGGCAAGTTCTCTATTGCTGAGCCACAGTAAAATCCCTTTTTATACTATACTTCTTCTTCATTCTGTTCCCCTAGAGAACCCTGACTAATACACTCAGGAAGTTAAATATCAGAACTCACTTTTTGATTTCTCGAAGCAGCATTCGGATAAGGATGGTCTGAAGTGGTTCAACCATCAATTTCCTCCACATATCCAATGCTAGCTGCCAGGAAAAATAAAAATCATTAAGGCTACATTACTTAGTAATTTTTTAACATTTATCCAAGATTTTTTTAAAAATTAAAACCAGCCTTCAAAAAGAAATATTAGTAACTAATCCAAAATTTAAATGAAAACTGAAGGAAATGAAAAATTTAAAGGAAAATAAGTAAATTTATGATTCAACTTGGCAATAACCATCATAGCAGACTTGTATGTGTACAAAATTAAGATTTTAAATTTAATTGAAAATTTTACAAAAATAACTGATTTTTATAAAATCTTGTTATATGCTCAGTATTACGGACAGGCTATAGAAGCCAATACCATAACGGAAATAAAGGATTTAAGTTAAATAAAATAATTTCATTTGACCCAGGCACAATTGTACACGCCTGAAATCCCGCAACTAGGGATGCTGAAGCAGAGGATCATAAGTTCAAAGCCAGCCTCAGCAACTTAGCAAGGCCCTTAGCATGTTAGAAAGACCCTGTCTCAAAGAAAATATAAATAAGAAGGGCTGGGGATTTGGCTTAGAGGTTAAGCACCCCTGGGTTCAATACCAGGTACCAAAAATAAATAAATAAATAAATTCGTTTTGTGGTTGGCTATATTTGTTCAATTACTGAATATCTCACACCTTAAAAAAAAAAAAAAAAGTTTAAGTTGGTTTAAAGAATACAACAGCCTCTATATTCACTACTCAGCTTAAGAAATAAAACATTATTRTTGCCCCAAATTTCCTCTTCCTTTCCACTCAGAAGTTATCATTATTCTGAATTTTATGTTAAATCATTTCTTTGCTTAAAGTTCTAATAAGCATTAATAATTTAAAGTTGACCTTTTCTGATCTTTTTTTTAAAAATCATTGTATATTCTTTTTTTTWAAATTTTTTAGTTAGATGGACAAAATATCTTTATTTACTTTTTTTTTCAAATGTGGTGCTAAGGATCAATCCCAGTGTCTCACAAGTGCTAGGCAAGCACTCTACCACTRAGCTAGAACTTCAGCCATTCACTGTATATTCTTTATGATTTTTTYAAAACTATATTTTGTCATTGAAACCAATCCAAATTTAAACACATACATATACCTAGAACATTGGTGCTGCTATATAGTATCCTATTATTTGAATACACCATGATTTATTTTTTCCAGTGCATTACTGATGATCTTTGCTTGTGATTCCAGTTTTCTGCTATTGAGAACAATGTTGCTTATTTTTATATTTATGTTCTGACCCATCTAAGCAAGAGATTTCTTGATATATACCTAAAAGTAGAAATGCTGGGCTGTAGGGTTAGATACACATGCAACTTTACTAAATAAAGCCAAATGGTTTTTCCATTTATACCCACATACCAATAGATGAAAATTTCCATTAGCCAAAATTCTTTTTTTTTAAAGGATTCAAATATTTTATTATCCCATTAGCCCAAATTCTTGACAACTGCTTCTGCAGGGCTTCAGTCAAACTTTGCCAATCTATTGGACATAAAATAGCACCTCCTTACAGTTTTAACTGGCATCTGCTTGAATGAAGCTGAGATTTTTTTTTTAAGAGAGAGTGAGAGAGGAGAGAGAGAGAGAGAGAAAGAGAGAGAGAGAGAGAGAATTTTTAATATTTAYTTTTTAGTTCTCGGCGGACACAACATCTTTGTTGGTATGTGGTGCTGAGGATCGAACCCGGGCCACACACATGCCAGGCGAGCGCTACCACTTGAGCCACATCCCCAGCCCAAGCTGAGATTTTTATGTTTATTATCTATCTTATTTTTCTTTCCTGAGAAATGTCCACTCATTTATTTCCTTCCATTATTCTGTTAAAGTTTGTCTTGTTTTTAATGAAACGTAGGAGTTCTTTACAAATGGAAGAAACTTATCCCTTCACAGTTTCACAAACTGCAATCTGCACACCTGTAATTTCAGTGGCTCAGGAGGCYGAGAGAGGAAAATTGTAAGTTCAAAGCCAGCCTCAGCAAAAGTGAGGTGCTAGCAACTCAGAGAAATCCTGTCTCTAAATAAAATACAAAAAGGGGCTGGGGATGTAGCTCAGTGGCCAAGTGACCCTGAGTTCAATATCTGGTACAAAAAAAAAAAAGAAAGAAATCCTTCCCTACYCTAAGGTCATAGGTATATGTGTACTCCTATTTTGTTTCTCAAAAGTTTTCCAAGTTTTCTTTTCTTGTTTAAGCCTTTAAATGTCAATACATTTTTCTCATAGAGTGTAAGTATTACATTACTAAAAAACTGACTGCTTTTTGGCTTGACTGTTCTATGTTTCTAACATATAGGCTGTTTCTGGCCTATTCTTTTTCCCTGGGGTAACATTATTCTGATCCATTGGTAATTACATTTACAGTAAGCAAAAGCACAAAAAATACTTACAAGTTTTGTCTTTGCTTTCTTTTTAAATAGCATGAATGGCAGGGGACAGCAATACATAAAATATATAAAACCTTTCTGAAAGCAAAGGTTGCAAATATATCAAAAATTCAGGATGGGGTTGGGGATGTGGCTCAAGCGGTAATGTACTCGCCTGACATGCGTGGGGCGCTGGGTTCGATCCTCAGCACCACATAAAAATAAAATAAAGATGTTGTGTCCACTGAAAAATGAAAAATAAATATTAAAAAAATTCTCTCTCTCTCCTGTCTCTCTCTCTTTAAAAAAAAAAAATCAGGATGTTTTATGAAGACTTCTGTTCACATACTATAAGATTCTTCTGTTTTGTTCATTGCTATATTCTCAACATATATAACAGTATTTGACACATAGAGGGGTTAGAATATTTAATGAATAAACAAGTGAACAATGACGTTCACTGCAGTATTGTTTGTAACAACAAAAAACTGGAAACTAAGTTATGCTATATCCCTATTACTGAAGTTTAAGATCTCATAAAAAGTATATAAAAAGAACTCCCAGACATATTAACCCCCAAAAACCAAAACAGCAAAAAATACAGGTTATAGGACTCTTTTTAAAACATAACATTGAAACTGTAATTTGTGTATATAGAAATATTTGTATTCAAATGCACAAGTAAATTTTGGAAAAGCTAAAAACCAAACTGTTTATGATGATTTCCTCTGGGAAGAGGAGCAGTTTTGATAATACTCATGATAAGGGACAATTTTATATAAGATATTTACTTATAATCCTACTAAAAGCAGCTACTGTTAAGATTTTGGTATTCCCAGTGAAACTCAATATCATGTACAACTATAGGAATGGGATCCTAATTAGAAAAAGTTATACTCCATATATGTATGTCAAAATACACTCTACTCTCATGTATAGCTAAAAAGAACAAAAAAAAATGATTTKGGGGGATGGGGATGTGGCTCAGTGGTAGAGCACTCACCTAGCACTGCAAGGCTCTGGGTTTGATCCTCAGCACCACATATAAATAAATAAAATAAAGGTATTGTACCCAACTACAACTAAAAGATAAATATTTAAAAAAATAAAAGATATTGGTATTTTCTTGTGTGCATGTACAAAATTTGACAACAAATCCCATCAATATATACAAATATAATGCACCAATACAAACATGGAGGGCTGGGGCTGTAGCTCAGTGTTAGAGGGCTTGCCTAGCATGTGTGAGGCACTGGGTTCAAGTTTCAACACCACATAAAAATAAATAAGGGCATTATGTCCGCCTACAATTAAAATAAATAAATAAATAATTTGGGTAAAAAAGATTTTGGTATTCTCTGCTGATCTTTTTATCTACATCCTTTTTTCCCTATATTTTATTTCTGTTAAACATACAATGTTGTGTCCAACCTTTTTCATAAACCATTTTCCCCTGTTAATGTTTCTATAAACTATTTTCTCTACTTTATTCATATGTCTACCTTTAACAAAATCATACTATATCTACTCTTCTACATACGATTTTTAATGTCGAATGTTGGAAATTTACATTGTTCACCCACTAACTGTCCTATTAAAAATGACTACAAGGATTGCTTTTAAAGATTTAAATTCTTTTCCCACTTATTATCTTCCAAGGACAAATTGTTAGAATGAGATTACTTGGAGGTATTAAATATTTTAAAACTTACTAAAAGACATTGATGAATTTTCTTCTCCAAGGAATATGCTAAACGTTTACTAACGTTGCATGTTAGCTGTTTATTTCTTTCATTCACRCCACAATTTAACATTATTTTCTTATTTGGCATCTGCTTCTCACATCTAAACTTACAAGTTGCATGTGAGCAGGGACTTTCTATTTCTAATTTTGTCCTCAATGTCTAACTATTCAAATATGTATTATATAAATTTGAACAAGAGTATTTCAAAATTAGTTTATGCATTATATATAATTCTTTTACATTTAAATGTACAAAATACTCCAAGAACCTAAATAAATTACTTGAATTAAACGTTTCATTATTGTACTCTGAATTTAATTACTTTCTATGTAGTTATAATAAATTTGTTATRTCCATAAACTTGTGTTTTCTCTCTTCTAGTCTCTTTTTATGTCTTTGTTTTTTGTATTTTTTGCCTACCAGATTGTCAATATTTTCTAAATAATGGTAATGAGTTTCCCCCCACACTGCAGAATCATTAATTCTTATCATTTGTCCATCATAAATATAATTACTGGGCTGGGGATGTGGCTCAAGGAGTAGCCCGCTTGCCTGGCATGYGTGCGGCCTGGGTTCAATCCTCAGCACCACATACAAATAAAGATGTGTGTTCACCAAAAACTAAAACAATAAATATTAAAATTCTCTCTTCTCTCTCTCAAAAATAAATAAATAAATATAATTACTAAAATAATGACATATCTTTTCTTTTTTTAATATTTATTTTTCAGTTGGACACAATACCTTCATTTTATTTATTTATTTTTATGTGGTGCTGAGGATTGAACCCAGGGCTTTGCATGTGCAAGGCAAGTGCTCTACCACTGAACCACAACCCTAGCCCAACTTAACATCTGTTCTGTTCTCATCTATCCAAAGATGCTTAAGAAATTATTATAGTATTTTATTTAACCTTCGAATGTTTTAAATCTTGACAGTTTTAAGTCAGTCAACTTGGTGTCCTTAAAAAAAAAAAACCTCGGGGCTGGGGATGTGGCTCAAGCGGTAGCGCGCTCTCCTGGCATGCATGCGGCCCGGGTTCRATCCTCAGCACCACAAACAAACAAAGATGTTGTGTCTGCTAAGAACTAAAAAAGAAATAAATATTAAAAAAAAATTCTCTCTCTCTCAAAAAAAAAAAAAAAACCTGGATAAAACATGTTTGCAACTTATAAAATCATGTTTGTAGTTAAAGAATTTATTACCTCTCCTATTTCCATAAGTGGTTCATTCATATCTACACCACCATAGCCATACTGAAGGTCAGCTTCAGTCAATTTATTCTTTTTAATAAACTGGGTGTTGAGATACCTGAAAAACAAATGTAGTATCACTGGATACCAATTCAAAATTAGTAAGAGAACAAACAACTTGCAATTTTATAATAATAATTTTAGGATTATAAACTAAAGAATAGTACTTGCAACTTTAGAACAATAATTTTAGTATTATAAATTAAGAAATAGTATAGTAATAAGTCCAACAGAAATTAATTATGTAGAAATTAGGAACATAATAAAAAGATGAAAATTATTAGCTCTAAGGGATAATGAATAAGACCTGGAGAGCAGAAAAAATACTATTATCACAGTCACACTTAAACTCAGGGTTTTGTTCTAAAGATTCTCAATACTCTTATGGTTCAATAGCTCTTATCTAAGGGTCARACCATCTACAATTCAATTTGCTAATTACTAGACTCTTCTTGGCAAGTCAAGATAAGGAACAATTTACAAAAGTTAAACAAACAAATAAAATGGTCAGTCAAGTCAGTTCTCTAATTTATACTTCATCATCAGTGGTGGGGGGGTGGGGCAGAATGTAACTTTTCATTTCTAAAAAAAAAGATCACCAATAGAACAAAGGAACTAGGAAGAGGGAGGAGGCAAATGAAAAGGGAAATATTGGAAAATGTATCAGTCAAACTGTGTTATTATATTGCATGCATGTATGATTGTGTAACAACAAATCCCACCATTATGTATAACCACAATGTACCAATTTWAAAAAAATGTGTATGAAGATCACAATTTGTAGGTAAGAAATGGAGTAGATTATTCCAGATAACAAAATAAGGGCAAAAAAAAATTTTATATTTATTTTTTAGTTGTAGTTGGATACAATATCTTTAATTAACTTATTAAAATAAGGGCAAAATTGACTGATTTAAAGACTATGTCTACCAGAGGAAAGCCAAATAATTTAAAAACATGTTTCAATACATTCCAAGACATAATAACTATGATGAACTCTAGGAATAACTGAAAGGAATATAGAATTCTAAAATAAAATGTGTAGGAAATGCCTGTAATGTTCAAGTATACATTTTCGCCATCCTAGATTTCACTATAATGTCTTTAAATGCTCAAAAACTAAAATTATCCATTTGAAATGTTCTGACCATATGCGTATTTAGGCGACAACCATAAAATCTGTATATTAAAACATACCCTTTCCAAGGTTCACTACACCACAATGAAGGGTCCACTTAGCATTTATAGACAACTGAAATTAAAACAAAGACAACAAAAATTTCCACTTCATAATTCCACCAGCAACTTGGGGAGACAATGAAAAATACAATTCCTGGAATTGACTTCAAAGCAGAATATCCACAACCATTTATGCAAACTCCACTTCTACTAATGTCCAGAATGTAGACTTGAAGGCCCTACAACCATGATGTGTCATTTGACATTTTAGACTACTTGGTCCAGGGTTAGAAAATCATTTTTCCTTTCAAAGTGTCATTTATTCCTTCTCTTCCATTCTCATGGTAACTCTAATGATCTTATTCTGTTTCAAACCATGCCTATCAATCAAGAAGAGAAGAAAGAAATAAAATTGARAGACAAAATTAAAAGGCAGAGAGAAGATGGACTCATCACCCGCAATGAATACSCTGTCACAGGTCTTCTAATGGTTGGCCCCCTGTCTTTTAGATCTCAGATCAAATATACCTTTCAGGCCTTCCCTGACCCCACTCTAAAATTAACCTTAACTTCCCACTCCCAACAAAGTAACTATTTAATTCACAGCTGTTTTACTTTCTTCACTTACTTGCTTTCTGTAAAATAACCTTTTATAATTGCTTTCCCTTTTTTGTATACCCATGTCCTCTAAAGAATGTCTTACAGTGTCAAAAACAGTAGTAGGCAAATATCAAGTCCTCAAAAAATACTTATTCAATGACTTACTGAATAAATAAATGGATARCATTTCAGACAGCAGGGATAGCAAAAACTAATATCAGAACAGAAACTTGGAAGAGTAGCCCAGAGCCAGATCATAAAACCATGATTGTCAGGAAATAAAAGTAATCAGTAACATTTATTTGCATCATAACACGTGTCAGGCATAGCCCTAAGAATTCTGCATGGCTGAACACTATGGGTAGATACATGTGGCACTATGATGATCTTCATTTTATAAATAAGAAAACAGGGACTGTGGTTGTGGCTCAAAGGTAGAGCGTTTGCCTAGCATGCGTGAGGCACTGGGTTCGATCCTCAGCACCACATAAAATAAAATAAAGATATTGTGTCCACCTATAACTAAAAATTTAAAAATAAAGAAAGAAAGAAGAAAATAGCAGATTGGAGAGGTTAGAAAGCTTGCCATAGTCAATCTGCTATTAAGTAGTTGAGCTGGCACAGAGACTTGGAAATTCTCCTACTCTCCTTCAAGTGGTATCAGTTGAGAACTATATATCAGGTACCATGCAAGGTACTGGGGACAGAAAAACAAACAGAAACRTGGTATCTGTTCACACAGAGCTTACACATCTAATAGAAAACATGAACAAATATAATATTTCAACAACGGCATGCCAAGTCAATGAAGCTTAATTGTCATATATTTACCATTTATGTGTGCATTATGTGCCTTTCTATATGGATCCTTTACTCCAAACCAGTTTTTGTTTTTGGTTTTTTTGGTCAATGGTACTATGGTCAATCCAATAATTCTACTTAAAACATTATTGTCACTTATATCACCCTTTGATTTTTGTCTCCTTTAAGGTTTTACTGTTCTTCCAAACTACTTATCATCTCCTGCCATTACTTCCTTTTAGCTCTAATGCCACTGTTTGCTCTCTTGGATGGATGATGTACAATATTCTCATGATTCATTTCTATTTCTAGTATCTCTTGTTCATCTAAAAATTCTCTTTTCAGATGTTGATTCCCTAATATGAATTCTAAAATAGCTCCCTTTTATCTACATAACAAGTAAAATTATTGACACTATGGTTTGTTAACTTTAAGATATAGCAGCTAGCTATGCAGATTTGGTCTTTATTCACTAATGCACTGCAAAGATCTTGAATTTGTATTCTTAGACTACTATAYGTTTTTGGGGTAGTTTTTCGCTTTTAATCTGACAAGACAAGCCACTATTCTCTTTCTCTTTCATAGGACCTTTATTTCTTGTACTAGATTTCTTGACAGTTAATTCATAAGAGGAACTTTTAAAATAAAGTCATAATAAAAATGTGAACAGTAATTTTTCATTTTGATATAATATTTTTCTTAATTTAAGTAAGTGTAATATTTTCAATCAAATTCATTAACCACACATTTGTTTGTAAATGAATGTAAATTCAAGGAAATCATAAAACAAAATAGCTTCCAATGATTTCTTTAAAAAGCTTATTCTACCCCAAAGGCCAATACCTGATTAGTTCACTTATGTAACAATGTATAAGTACATGTTCTTTAAATTTTTTTCAATTGAGTAATTAATAAGTATGCTTTGCTTTTATATAGTTTTAACAGCAATACAATTTACAGCAATACTTGACAAAACTACTAACCTAAGGTAACTGATTTTTTCTTCTTTTTTTTTTTTTTTTTGAGACGGTATCTTGCTATGTTGCCAGGCTAGACTCGACCTCCTGGGCTCAAGTGATGTTCCTGGCTCAGGTCTCCCAAATAGATACACACTACTGCACCTCGCTTAAATAAATGTTTTGTTTTKTTTTCTGTCATTCTTGTTTGTTTTTTGCAGTGCTGGGGGTCAAACACATGGCCTAATGCATGCCAGCAAGCACTACCACTGAACCATACCCCAGCACAGATAATACAGAAGCCTTTCCATCCTAGAAAATTCCAGTATAAGAATTCTTCTCATGCTCATATCTATCTTTTCTCATGTAAGAGCTATTTGTTCTCAAGCTTGTATCTTAAGTACTCCATTATATGGCCTGGCAGCGTCTAAACAGGCACATAGAGCAACAGGGAAAAGTAGGGCAGGAAAAATTATTGAAATGTTAATATTTCAATGGATACTCATCAATCAATCATAGTAAAGAAGAGACTAGAAATACTTCATAAAAATAATAAAAATAGCCAGGTGCGAAGGTGCCTATATCTCAACAGCTCAGGAGGCTGAGACAGGAGGATGGCAAGTTCAAAGCCAGTCTCAGCAGAAGTGAGGCTCGAAGCAACTCAATGAGACCCTATCTCAAAATAAAATACAAAATAGGGCTGGGGATGTGGCTCAGTAGTCAAGTGCCCCTGAGTTTAATCAGGACACCCCTTTCCACCAAAAAAGGGCTGAGGATATGGCTCAGAGGTTTAAGCCCCTGAATTCAATCCTCAGCAAACACACACACACAAAAAAAAAAATTAATTAATTAATTAATTAATTAAATGCTTTTGAAATAAACCTCAAATTTTTCCTCTTTACATTTTGTTAGATGGTGACTAGCAACAGTGATAACCGAACTACCAAGCAAGCAAAACTATTAAGTAGTTTTCATCTGATTACTGCCAACCATTCTTCTGTGAAAAGRGTGTCAACACTTACTCTACCAATAAGCAAAACTATTAAGCAGTTTTCATCTGATTACTGCCAACCATGTCCTCTGTGAAAAGGGTCAACACTTACTCTACCAATATAATTAAATAAATAAAAAGCAATCACATGATGTCAACACCAGAGAGGCCAAGCAAAACACTGTTAACTGAATCCCACGGGCCATCAGCTCTAAGTCTTTGCTACCAACAGTGGAAAGTTACTAAATGATTTTAGAGAGTCATCAAATTTGCACTTTAGAAAAGATAATACAAAAAGCTTTCCAGATAGAATAAATGAGAAATCAATGACTTGGAAGTATGAGGTAGGAGAACTGCAAATTCAAAGCCAGTGTGARAAACTTAGTGAGATCCTGTCAAGATAAAATTTAAAAAGAAAAAAAAAGGCGGGGGGCCCACTGGGGATGGTGCTCAGTGGTCGAGTGCTACTGAGTTTAATCCCCAGTACTACTGGGTTAAGGAGGGAGGATAATAAGCTCAGTTTTTAATATATACAATAGTATAATGTACCTATGGGACAATCTGAAGGGATAGGCATTTTGGTTTTAAAAAAACAACAAAACAAAACAAACAACAAAAAAACACTTCTTTTAAACTTAGGCTACCTGGAATAAACATATACTTTGGTACGAATAAGTTGCAGCTAAAACCAGGAATAATTTAATTCACCCCAGAAAAAAATGTGTAGTATAAGAAAATGATGAGAACAGAATCTACTTAAGTGACCAAAAATTGCTGTATGTGGAATAAGACCAGGGTAGAATGAAGAGGTTAAAACATGAGCTTTGAAATCAGACTGACCTGGGTTTAAATTCTGCCTCTCACTCATTAGCTGAGTGATCTTCAGCAAAGTCATTAACCTCTTCAAGCCTTCATTTCCTCCACTGTAAAAATGGAGATACTGACTACCTCATATGGTTTTACACAAACACATACACACATGGGTGTATATCTTATATATTGCAACATTTACTAAATACCCAAAACTAGCATCAGTATAACAGCAGTAATTTAAATAGCTCTAAATTAATTGATATTTAGTACACACAAGCAAATTATGTCCTACCACACTAACAAACAGAAAAACAACTTAAAGCTTTACTATAATACATCAGCTAAGAAGGGATACCACTGCATGATACAAGCTAAACACTTTCTTCTAAGGCCCACTCATCCCAACAATGACAAAAGCATGCATACACACTAACCCTTATCCTTAAAATTTGCAATACTCCTCTGATTTCRCTGGAAAATTTTTTATTTTGTAATTTGTTTTATTTTGTTTGTGGTGGTGAGGATCAAATCCAGGGCCTAACTCATGCTCAGCAAGCTAGCACTGATCTATACCCTCAGACCTTAGCTAGGGAACTCTTAACTTTTTGATTAAGGAAGAAAATCAAATGTCAAGATGTTTAATGTACAACAAACACTGTTCTATGAAAGCCGAAGCCACAGTAAATCTGTGCTTGACAGCAACTAGTTTCTCATTTTATTATATTTCACTCTTCCCCATGCCACTGAGTCACTGAAAAGCAAGTCAAGTTTCTAATACAAGCAACTCAGAGTGAATAAACTCCAGTTCTGTTATAAAAGCTTTTGGGAATACGAACTAGTTAGGCAAAAAGGAAAACAAGCCATGAGAGCTGAGCGCTGGTCTTGCAATAAGGTGCTACTACAAAGTATGGTGGGGCTAACAGATAGTATGTGGAGACCCAGCTCAACTCCTTCGTTTCTCTCCAATGAGAAACTGAAGAAGTGGCCCATCTGTGGTCCATGCCACATATGAGGCAAAATTATCACTGTAACCACTAAAAGCCATAATCATTTATTTCGAGAGAAGACATCTTAGGACCAAGGGTTAAAGAATCAGGCATTAATGCCATTATTCTTTACTTATCAACTATTCCTCAATAAATAGGCCTCTGCCTTACATGGATAAGTAATCATACACAGCATAACAATATTTTTGGTCAATGACAGATCACATATACAACAGCGGTTCCTAAGAGTATATTGCTTAGTGACATCATAGYCATCTTAATTTGAGTATATATAGGCTATGATGTTTGCACAATGAAACCACCCAAAGACATATTTCTCAGAATACATTCTTATTATTATGTAATGCAACACTGTCTTAGGGAGACCCTGTACTTAAAAACAAAACAAAAAAACAGGGAATATCAGAAGACCTTGTCATAACCTGTCATCCAAAGAAAGGAAAAAAGCAATCCAGACAGATGGAATAGTATGGGGAAACATGGGAAGATGTAAGAGACCATGGAGCAGTATAAAAATACAGGTAATTCAATATACATGAAACACAGGGTAGGAGAACTTAAGAGAAAAACTACTGAGCATTTCTGGTGCTTTAACTGAGTGTTTCCATGAAACAAAGTACTGAATGCTAAAGTCAAAAGAGAACTTATAGGGCTGGGGGTATAGCTCAGTGGTTACAGTGAATGCCTACATCCATGAGGCCCTAGGTTCCATCCTCAGCACCACAAAAAAAAAAAAAAAAAAAAAAAAAGGAGACGTATTCTTAAGTTCATTCCACTAAGTTTCATCCAAACTGAATTTTTACAATGATCTCTGTTAAGATTTAACAAGTGGTATAGTTTCCAAAACCAGAGTTATGTTGTTACATACAAGTTTTACTTTTCTACTGAATAACTTTCTACCTAGCTCCCAAATACCCACCGGACTTAAACTCTAGACCTTTTCCAGTAGTAAGGAAAGTCCATGTAAAAGAGGACAATTTAAATTCTGCCCATTTCAGTGAAAAATAGGTAATAAAAAATTATCCTTCAAGTATTGAATGCAGGTAGTACTGTTTGCATTAATAAGTTTTTAAAAGTATACTTACCTATATAAACAGTCCATATAATCTGCACCCTTGCTGTATTCTTCCCAGTATCTATGATACATAACAAGAACTTGTTCTTCAGACTCCAGTACTCTCTATATTAAGAGAAAAGAATTTTTTACTTAAATAGTACTAATAATTTTCACTGTAAACTATAAAACACATCAAAATATTCTAAAATAACTTACATAAATCAAGCACTATAAATTACACTTACAAATTATCTTTAAATTTAACTACCTTTAGTACAAATAAAACAACTGGGGGAAAATGCGAACCTAAGACATGAAAGGGAAGCCTTCAAAGAAACTGTTTCATTCCTCAAGATAAAAGGACAAAAAATAATGGTTTGATTTTTGTCTCTGGGATAGATGGATACAATCAGTGTAAAATAGAAAAACATAATTCTATTGTCATATCTGTTTCCTCATACCCATCACCTCTGATCAATCTATTAGTTATATAAATATGTCATCACCTCATTTTTGTGAATAAGACTATTTATAGAAATTGGTACCTTTTATATATTTCATCATTTTTGCTATTATAATAGCAAAAATGAAAGGGGGGATCCCATATAAAATATATGAAACTTGTCAGACTCTGACTTAAAAAAAACCTCAACTATAAAATAATGCAAGTACACTGAATATTCAGAAGATCTTGGGTGCTCTGATCTCAATTCTTTCATTAACTGTCCACATGACCTCAAGTAAGACATGACTTCAATTTATATCTGATTAATTCTTTGATGAAGTGTCATGTTTTTAAAACTAGAACTTTAACAATTAAGGCTTAGAATAATTAAAAAAAACTACAAATAGCGCTTTCTATCTTATCAAATTAGTAAATTAAAAACAGCATCTTCTTCAAGAAGGTGGAACACACCAGTCATCCCAGTGGCTCAGGAGACTGTGTTTGATTCCATGGCTAAAAACTGAGCCTATAAAAATCATAGGGGTTAAAGGTATGGCTCAGTGGCAAAGGGCATGTTTAGCACATATAAGACCTTGGGTTCAATCTCCAGCACCCACCTCTCCCCAAAATCTCATGGTTACACAAGAATGTTCAGAGTACTTTTATAGTAACAAATTATATAAAATGGAAATCATCTACCCAGCAATGAGAATATTTCAACCATAGCATCTCTATACAATTAAAAATTTAGAAATCGTCAGAATTACAGATATATTTAATGAAAAAGGAGATCTGCAGTATTATCAAAAGCAAAAGAGATTATCAAAGTAAGTAGACTTTACTTTCTAACAAAGAAGCCTAAGGCTTGGGAGGCTGAAGCAGGAGGAACGCCAAGTTCAAGGCCAGCCTCAGCATTTTAGCAAGACATTTCCTCAAAATAAAAAATTAAAAGGGTTGGGGGAGCTTATATGAAGCAAAACTATACCAAAGACAGGCATATGTAAAATTTAAAATATTAATATGTAAAAAATATATATGTTTAAGTACAGACTTATCAAAATATTAACAGTTGTTAATTCTGAAAGTATGTCATGTGATATTTATATTCTACATTTTCTAATCTGTATAAGTCATCTGTCATGGTAATACAATATTATGGTAATGAAAAAAGTTCCTTCTCCTAAACAAGTGAAATTTTCTTCTCACGGGTAAAACTGAATTTTGCTGCTGTATAATAATGCATTTCTGTCATATACACATCAACCAACTTTTCTTTTTCATAGGATCTGAGAGAATGTATAGTATATAACTACTTAAGTATTGTAAACTGTCATAAAACTGCTTTGCCCTTTTTTTTTTTTTTTTTTGGCAGTGCTAGATATGAAATCCAGGGACTCACATATACGCAAGCATTCTATTAATGAGCTATACCACTGGCCCAGAATATCATTTTTAAATCACAAAATTATATAAATATTTACTTCTTGGCTTTAATAACCATACTGTTGTACGAGATTTTAACCTTAAGAATCTGGGTAAAATATACAAGAACTCCCCATACTATGCTTACAACTTTTAAGTTTAAAATTATTTCAAAATCTAAAAGTTTTTTTTAAATAATCACATAACCTAATCTAAAATATAAAAATCACAAAATTTATACATGTCTTACAAAGTATTATGTTATAACCAAAGCTCACTAGCTTACAATGAAATAACTTTTTTAATAATTTAATATATTAAACATTAAGACCACTTTAGAGTACTTGCTATCAAAACCACTTTAATGACCTGATAAATGCACACATCAGAACACTAAAATGTACATGCCACAGACAATAAATACAACAACAAAAAAATATATCAATCCCTTCAAAAGTTTTAAGGATAGCACATGATCAATTGCACCTACTTTTGAGTTGTTACATTTTTAAAAGTATCTCTTCTTGGTCATATGCAGTGTTAGATGCTTTTTGAAGATTGTTTTATTGTTTTATGAAGATTGTTTTATTCTATCTCATAGATTAGTAAACTTAATTTACTACACAAGGTAGTTGTGAGTTTCCACAATTGTAGCAATAGCTAACAAAAAGTAGAATGAAGATTCTAGCATAGGCAATAAGTATCTCCCCCCAGTTCCTGATAAGATCAGGAGTCCAAATTAATTTAGAAATGCTATCCACAGAAAAACACTGTAGCATTCATTGTTTGTGCACAGATCAAATCCATGATTTTGCTCTCACATACAGAACACTAACCAAAATAACTGGTCAAAGCCAGGTGGCACAAACCTGTAATCCCAGCACCTCAGGAGGCTGGGGCAGAAATAACCCAAGTTTAAAGCCAGTCTCAGCAACTTAATGAGGCCCTAACCAACTTAGCAAGACTCTGTCTCAAAAATAAAAAATAAAAAGGCCTAGGGATATGGCTCAGTAGTTAAGAATCTCAGGAATCAATCCCTGGTACCAAAAAAAGAAAAAAAATAACTGGTCAGAAAGACAGCTTTTTACAATGCTTTTTAACTTACTGATTCTCTTCAATTTTATGTTTTTTGAAGACTTTATATAGAATGTGAAGAAGCAGCTAAAAGGTTAAAAATAAAGAGAGATTTACCAAGAGGTTGGTATATTCAGAAGGTAAGGAGAAATTTACTTGTATAAACACCATCCAAAGAATGTAAAAAGCACTTTTAAATTTAGTTGATTTTGCTCTTTCACATACTAGTTACATGATCTTGAACAACTAAACTAATTTCCCCTATAGAACACAATAGCATCGTGTTTGACTCATGGATAAATGTAAAAATAGAAAAATGCTATTTAAGAAACAAGATACAAACTTGAATTCATAAGTTTTGCATTGGAAAGTAGTGTGCCAGGGCTGGGGTTGTGGATCAGAGGTACAGCGCTGGCCTAGCATCCGAGAGGCACTGGGTTCGATCCTCAGCACCACATTAAAAWAAAAAAAAAAAAAATTTAAAAAGGAAAATAGTGTGCCAGTCAATAGCCATGTAAGTATAAAGATATTTATATCATGTATGTATAGTCCTTACCTTGTGCAAATGCCGGACGTGATTTTCCAAAAAAATCTTAGTTTCTGTATAAAGTCTTTCCCCAAGAGGTTCAGGATAGGCCACACATAAAGCATAGATATCTCTAGTTAAATTATTAAGGTTATTTCCTTCATTAGGGTTATTTTTAACTTATGAGACTTACATGAACTTTTTTTTGTTTAGGCTCATAATATGTATAATATTGTTACAGCATACAATACTGTTTAATATTATAATACTATTCTATATCTATGTCAAAGGTAAAATACATAACCATGCTTTATAAAGCTCTATAAGATTCATTTATTTATTTGTTCAACAAGTTCTTAGTGACAATTATTTGAAGGCATTGTGAAAAAAATGGTTCTTATCAAAGCAGTTAAATCCAAAAGGGGCTTCTGTGATAACGTTAACCAGAAACCTACAAAATAAGGTTTATGTAAGAGTGGACATAAGCATAATATCAACAAAGGGCTATGGAATATCACAAGAGATGAATACTGTGATAAACCAGTTACAAAACTTAATCATCTAACACATTTTCCCACATCATATAAGCTATTCACTGTATTTCAGCATTTTTTCTACTATAAGAAATATAGTATGAATAGTAACAGTGATATCAACCAGTTAAGTCTTTGAACACCAACTAAATAACATTTCTAAGCATCTCAGTGGTAGATTTGCTGTAACAGAGCATTCTTAACAAGGAGTTAAAAGCAATGAGCTCTAATTGAGAATTTGTACTAGCCAGTGATCATGCCCACATCTTTTAGCCTGTCCAAGTTGCCATTTCCTTTTTAATATCCTTTGCTTGGAATCTTCTCCACACCACCGAGAATTAAGAAAATTATACTAAGAAGGACAAAAAAGACTCAAAACAAAGCCAAGTTATGATCTTTGAACTAGACATAGTATTAGACTAATATTCTGAAGATACTGTGTTTAATATGCTGCTACCAACAGTGAAAAAACATTTAGGAGGTAACACCTTGCTTGTCCCCATCGACAGTGACATCTAAGCAACATACAGGTCAAAACCTCCTGGTAGTTGTACTGCAAGATCATATCATGGTAAAGCTATGGCACCTGATCAGTAAAATCACCATAACTATTCTCCACGGTAAGAATAATAAACTCTCCCCCTGATATTTCTACTGAGCCCTTTAAGACTCAAATAAGCTCTTATATGTTAAATTGCTTCATAAACTATGCCTCGGTAACCAAATGTGGAAGATAAAACACACATGAGCAATCTGAGACCAGCCTAACTACAAATGCAGTTATAGTTGAAAATAAGGTTACTTAAGAAATGCTCAAATATTTATATTTAATACAAAGACAGAAAATATTACAATATTTTATTACAAAAAAAATGTCTGCTTAAAATCATGGTAGGATGCTGGTTCTTTCATCAATGTATCCCCATAACACTTCATATATTCTACAGATTCAGAATCTGTATTTTTATACAATAAAACTTTATATAATAGAGATTACTTATATACTTGCCATCCATACYACTGTGTTCTTATTTTTGTCATTTCTATATTCCCAATTCCATGCAATTCCTGATGCTTATTACATGCTTACCAAAGGAAAGGAGGTAGGGAATTAGCTCTGCCAGCTTACTGAGAATTCCTATGCTAGAAGGAGTAAGAAGTCCCCTCCTTGTGAGGTAGTCTGGTAGACTTTGGTAAGACATTCCCAACTTTCTTCTAATTATCTTTTCCATTTCTTTTTTTTTTTTTTTTTTTTTTGGCAGTGCTGAGTATCAAACCCAGCGCTTAACACATAATAGGCAGTCTATTTCTGAAGTACATCCCCAGTCTTCTTATTTTTTATTTTAATGAGTAACTAATAAAATATATCTTTATACATCCAATAAAGGGGAAGAAGGGCCATTTCTGGGAACCTAGGAGTGTCTATTTACTGGATATTTAGGTATGTGCACTTTGTGAAAATGCTTCTATACATTCAATAGTCAGTATTTGTACTATCATTAAATGAAAAAAAAATTTAAGACTAAATTTAGCCAGGATCAAATCAACTATTCTTTTAAGAAGGGCGATATGTACTTAGTATATGAAAGTACTTCTAGATGTTTCAGCCAATATTTGTTCTATTTTATCCCTAACTCACACATATACTTCTTTAGGGAGACCAGAACACAAAAAAACCCTCTATGAATTTTCCACTCACAAATTCCCACAGTCAGAAACAAGATTTAATCCTAAGTAAAAGCTCTGTACTTGGTTACAACCAAATGATAGTGTCAACAAGCAGCAAAATTATTTTAGTTCATTTTCTCTATTAAAATATGCTTCCAGCTAGTGCATGCCTGTAATCCCAGCAGCACAGTAGGCCGAGACAAGAGGATCGAAAGTTCAAACCAGCCTCAGCCTCGGCAAGGCACTACGCAACTCAGTGAGACCTTGTCTCTAAATAAAATATGAAATAGAGCTGGGGATGTGGAACAGTGGTTGAGTTCAATCCCCAGTACCCACTTCCCAAAACAAAAATGCTTCCTACATTTAGACTCAATTCTGAGTTTTAAAAATATGAACTTTATTATACATTAGGAAAAGAACAAGGAGGGTCTTATAATGGGAATAAAAGTAATGATTATATTAAAATCTAGCTTCTTCTCCTYTCTATTTTAAGGCTGACATGAGGTAAGCAGCTTCTTCTGACACATGCTCCCATTATGAGATATTTACCTCTCACTACAGGCCCAAAGCAACAGGGCTAAGAGAACACGGACTATAATCTCTGAGGATCATGAGTCAAAATAAGCCTTTCTTCCTTATAAGTTATTTCAATTATTTTGTTAAAGTAATGGAAGGCTAATTAGTATAAACACTCTTCCCTCAGATATCTGTGTCTCTTGCTCCCTTACTTTTTTAATCTCTGCCCAAGTGTCACCATCCTTGGGGAGATCTTCCTTGACCACTCTACAGACGGAGGGCACATGCACACAATACTCTAAGCCTTTTTCACAATATTCACCACTGCATRTATAATTAAATGTATCACTGCAGCCAGGGACAGTGGCACATGCCTGTAATCCCAGTGGTTCAGAGGCTGAAGCAGCCAGATCTCAAGTTCAAAGCCAGCCTTAGCAAATTGGCAAGGCCCTGAGCAACTTAGTGAGACCCTATCTCAAAATAAAAAATAAAAAAGGCTGAGGATGAGGCTCAGTAGTTAAGCACCTCTGGGTTCAAGCCCCACTATAAATCAACCTATCAATTATTATTAAATACTCATGAAGTATTTGTTAAATGAAAGGTTATAAAATACTGATTGCCACAAAAGAGGTGATAAAACTTGGAAAGGTAAACGATGATATATTTGGAAAGAGTTACAGTGGAAGTTCTCCCAGTTCAATAAATTTAAATCTATTTCCACTTTTCAGTAAGTTTATTAATTTTAGAACATTTATCAAGATGCTACTAAAAGGATACGAGAAGCGATCATTCCATGTTGCTCTTTCGACATATTCCAACATGACAACTGCTTTGATTGTAGTCAGAAGTTTGTTCCATGTTTCATCAAAATCTACTACTCTTGGTTTCAAAGACATTGTGCAAGTTTAGTGTTGAAATCTGTTGATAAAAAAATAATAATAATAATAGCATGAATTCTATCATCTCCAATAGTTATTTTTAAAGCACAACATAATTAAACTSCATGATATATGAAAGGAGTAGAAATAGAAACTGGAACATAGTAAGGACACAAAAAATGTTGGCTATCATCTTTTCATTTAGGAATTTTGTAGAATGATCAAAGGTTCCATTTCAAAGGATTCACAAATAATTCACAAATAATAATTTAATAGTGTTGAGTAAAAGTTAGGACCCCATTAACCAAAAAGCCACCTCCCATCATGGGAAATATGCAGGAGACATTTAAAAACGGTTTTGGCCACAAATCCTTGTGACTCACACTGCTTAAACTTAAGGATGTTCTGTACACAAGACACAAGAAAATGAAAGGGTTTATCTTCCTGGAACATCAGTTTAGGTATGATGAGAAAAGAAATTTACATTTATATTAAAACAAACAAATGTATGCTGGAGTAAAATGCAAAGTTTACCTGAAATTTTAAGATTAAAAGATTTTAAAGAGGGGCTGGGGTTGGGCCTCAGTGGTAGAGTGCTTGCCTAGCATGTGTGAGGCACTGGGTTCAATTTCAGCACCATAAATAAATAAATAAATAAATAGTCCATTAACAACTAAAAAAATATTTTWAAAAAAAAGATTTTAAAGAAATGTCAGGGGGCTGGGGATGTGGTTGGGGCTGGGAATGTGGCTCAAGCAGTAGCGCGCTCGCCTGGCATGCATGCAGCCCATGTTCGATCCTCAGCCCCACATACAAAGATGTTGTGTCCGCCAAAAACTAAAAAAAATAAATATTAAAAAGAAATGTCAGGTTTGCAGCAAAGTTCTTAAAGCTCCTCAGTTTCTTGGGGTATGTGGTCCCCACTCCTATAACAAAAAACACAGCTCTAGCATGGAACCCTAGGGTCAAGTACATTTGATGGGTTTATAGGGAAGGTAGAAGACTCCTGCCTGGTAGACAAGTTATATTTAGCAATTACTTGGTTTCTGGAACAAAGTTATCCCAAGGTTATAGAAACTTGGTTCAAGCCAGATTCTAAATCTTTCTCAGCACATCAGAGAAACAGAAACATACCAAAGTCTACCTCCTGGGCTTAATCTCATACCTGTACTATCAAGAATGGATCAACAGACGTCTCACTGTATATTTGGGTTAAGAGGTGGGAAAACTTAACAAATTTACTTCCCTCTAAATCTGTGAATTAATCTTTTTTTTAAAAAAAATATATATATATAAGAGAGAGAGAGAGAAAATTTTTAATATTTATTTTTTAGTTTTTTCAGTGGACACAACATCTTTGTTTTGTATGTGGTGCTGAGGATCAAACCCGGGCCGTACGCTTGCCAGGCGAGTGCGTTACCGCTTGAGCCACATCCCCAGTCCATGTGAATTAATCTTAACACCTTCTCTCCCTTATCTACCTCATCCTATCCAACTACTGTGCTCCTAAGTGTTTCCTAAATCCATCTATTCCTGTGTACACTACATATGCTCTGGCATCAAGCTCTTGGCAGAAATAGTGACAGTTGTTAGTATTTATGTAGTGCTTACTATGAGCCAAAAGCATTGTCCTCAGTGCATTGTATTAATAAACATTTTAAGTCCCCCAACAATCTGACAAGTATGTACTGCTATTCTCCCTATTTTCTGGATAAGAAATCTGAGTCACAGAAAGATTAAGAAATTTGCTGAAGGTCACAGAACTATGTAATAATGACATCACGATTCAGGAGCCTGTGCTCTCAACTCTTATACTACTGTTCATTTTTAGGAAACACTCTTTGCAAGGCACCCTTCTAGGCTCTGCAGATTACAGGGATTAAAAAACAAAGGGTTGCCCTGGCCCCCAACTTGTGATCCTCCTGCTTCAACCTCCCAAGAAGCTGGAATTAAGGCATGCATCACAATGCCCCCAAAAAACAAAAACTTCAAGGTCAAGATTAACACCTCAGGTCCTGCCCTTATCAAAGACACAAAAATAACCTACTTAAACCAGAAAGTTGACAAAGTCACTCTCCTACATAAAGCCATTTGATGTTTCCCACTATATATAGCATTTAGGTCCATTTGCATGGTGACACACCAAACTCCCATGATCTGACCTCAGTCTAAAGCACCTTTACAGCTTCCTCTCATGGGATCCCATTTGGCATCACAATTCAGTGACTTATCTTTGTTTAGCTATCACTGAACATACCAGGCTGACTCATATACTTCCTAGGTTACCTTTATTGTTTTTTTCCTGTAAAATCTCTTTTTTCTTYATCACTCCTCTCCACCCATTCACCTAACACCTACTGATATACAGACTCAATCCAAGCCCATCTGCTTTTAAGAAACTTTCTTGGATGCTAGGGTTGTGGCTCAGTGGTAGAGCGCTCACCTCACACGTGCAAAACTCTGGGTAGGATCCTCAGCACCGCATAAAAATAAATAAGTGAAATAAAGGTATTGTGTCCAGCTACAACTAAAAAATACTAAAAAATATTTAAAAAAAAAGAAACTTTCTTGGTTTCTTGGACTCACTTTTGCTTAGTAAGTTGCTGTTTATATGCTATGATGTTGTCCCTATTAAGGCATAAGAATGAAAAACAAGACTCACATGCAATCATTCACCCCATAACTGTACTTCAGTCAACAATGGTCTACATATATAATGGTGATCCCCTAAAGATTTTATCACCATGAGAACGCAATGCTTACCTTCAATAGATCATTTAATAATTCCAAACAAAATTATCTGTTTCTTGAATAGGGATTGGTTGTTTTATTGTTGTTTTGGTGTGTGTGTGTGTGTGTGTGTGTGTGTGTGTGTGTATGTGTGTGTATGTACCAAAAACTGGCAATGTTTTCCTTCACATTTGTTTTCATTCCTTATAAAAATGGGATATTAGCCAGGCAAGGAAGTGCACACCTGCATCCCTGCTACTCGAGAGGATAAAGAGGAGGATTCCATATTCAAGGCCAGACTGGACAACTTAAAGAGAGACTGTCTCAAAATGAAATCTTAAAAAAGGGCTGAGGATGTAGTTTATTGGTAAAGCACCTGCTTAGCATGTGCAAAACCCTGGCCCAGTACCAAATAAAAATGGGATATTAATATACACCATGCTTGTAAATTATTTTAATGTTTGCAGAGACTGCCTTTATCTTTATTGACCCACTCTGACACTTTCCTGCTGAGACCAAGACTTATGGTAGAATGGGTACAAATGCAGTAATATCCATGCTTGGAGGGGTAGAAAAATCTGGATGCCAAAGAGAAAAGAACCAGACTATCAGCTTAGTGAAACACTAAAAACTAATAAAACAACAGCAGCAAGTATGCTGAAAGTTTATATTCTCTCCTTGCCCACTAGAAAGCTCATATAAACAATTCAGTTTCTTCATTTTCTTGCAATTGTTTAGATAATATATTCATGGAGAATTTACATAAAGATATAAAAGAGATATGGCAAATAAAGAAACAGAACCAAAACCACTGCACTATTTTCCACTTTCTAGGCTGTTAGACAACTCAGAACATACACTCACATTAGAGATATGTTCTGAGAAATATCTTTTGTTGATTCTGTTGTGTGAATATCAGAGTATACTTACACAAACTAAGATGCTATGATGTCACTAGGCAATATAATTTTTAGGGGATCACCATTTTATACATAGCCTATCATCAACTGAAACAGTAGTAGGGTGTATGACTATGAGTCTTGTTCTTCATTCTTGTGCCTTGTTAGAGACCACATCCGATTTCTCATCCCAATCAGATTGTGTCCCATTAAGTATCTGCAAAGTTCAAATATCCTTTAGCTTTCTTTTGAGTTCTACTCTTGCAATGATGGAGTTTTTAAACATTTTGCACATAAGGCTAAGGCTCATGAACATTACAGACACTAAATATGTACAAAATAAATAAATAATATATATAGGCTCCAAATTTTTTTTTAAATATTTATTTTTTTTTTTAGTTTTCGGCGGACACACATCTTTGTATGTGGCGCTGAGGAWCCAACCCGGGCCGCACGCATGCTAGGCGAGCGCACTACYGCTTGAGCCACATCCCCAGCCCCAAATTTTTAAATATTAAAAAATAAAGTATATGAAAATGAATGTTTAATAAATTTTTCCCAGAAAATATTACACCAACATTAATTATAGATAYGTAAAATTATTACATTTGAAAACACTAAATTAGATTCTCACAGCATCCTTTTTTTTTTGAGAATTTTTTAATATTTATTTTTTTTTAGTTTTAGGCGGACACAACATCTTTGTTTGTATGTGGTGCTAAGGATCCAACCCAGGCCGCACGCATGCCAGGTGAGCACGCTACCGCTTGAGCCACATCCCCAGCCCTCACAGCATCACTTCTAAATATTCATGATTATCAATTTAATAATTACAAAAGTGAATTACATAAGCAAGAGTTATGTAACTCTTGTTAAACTTTGAGAAGTTAAGTTTTACTAACTATTATACATTAAAGAAGTAAATTTTCAAATCCTACTAGCAATTTTAGAGCAATTTGATGGGACTGGATGGGAGAAAAGGTACATTCTTGTGTCCCTTAGTGTAAAATTTTGAAAGCTCAGTCTCCTTCCCATTCTGATAGTCTAGTCAACTTCTCCCAACATAAGAGGCAATAAATTTGAATTCCTAAAAGTGTGTGTCATTCATATATTATATATATGACACTATACTCTTTATATTACTGTGTACTCTGCTTTTTTTTTCATTTGAGTATTCTGGAGAAAGTATGCCATATTAATATATAAATAATTTCTTTAACCTTATAGCATTTCATTGTTTGGCTGTGCTCTGATATACTCTAACACATTTGACATGACATTGAGTCTTCTCAAAAGTTTAAAGGTTTGAGAACATAGGCTATGTTAGAACTGCTATGTGTTTACTGACAGTGAAATTGCAATAATATTATCTATAACTCCCATTTATTAAAGACTGTCTGAATGCCTTCTA